CATATATATATATATATATATATATATATATATATATATATATATACACGATAGATACGATATATATATATATATATACTTATATATATACTTATATATATAATATATTATATACATATAATATATTTTATATATATACTTATATATATACTTATATATATATATATAATATATATATTTACCTATTACTCTGCTATAAACAGTTGGAAATTCCGAGAGTGCTACTTGCTTGCTCGCTTTCGACTTCAATACTCGCAGTAAATCTGACGTGAAACGTCGCACTTGCGCACGATGTGACAGAGTAACCACGCGCTTATTACCCTCACCCATTACCTTACGAAACACGTGATTATTCATATTAATATAAGTAACATTCCGAACTGTTTTGGTTGCATATTTGTCGAATGTGCATGATTGAATTTACATACTTGAACTGTGTGTGTAAGTGCTTCCAGCAGATCAATTAGTTTAGTGAATCCGTAATCAGCGACTCTACATTGCCGCCCGAAGTGATGATGATACGCCGGTATAAATCGATTAAAGGGTAATTGACAGTGTGGGGCGGTTTTCAAAAGGTCGACCAATTCACGGCTGAAAAGGGCCAACTGATTTGCGAGCGATGGACTCACGCATTTGGTTTCTAACAGAAGTAATGTAATTGCCTGTGAATATTGATAAGCACCGTGGATACGTAACTAATGTTTATAGAGAAAAATTACCTTCGTGATTACTTTCAGCGTTTTTATTTCCTATCCATACGATATATTTTACGCTCCCGATATCCTGTCTCAATTCCACTGACAATAAGCACGATACCAAGTGTTCCAAAGGTACACCACTCTCTATAATCTCTAACGGCTCCTTAAACTCAGCCTCGTAACAATTCGGTAGGCTAAAATTATTTAATGAATTTCGATTACAATCTTTCGTTAGTTATTCATATTAAAATAGTATTGTGTGAATATTAATCATTGTATTAGGTCAATCGAAAAGAGTTGAGTTCGATTTCTTTGTCTAATTTGGCCTTATTGCATTCAGCAGAAAATTATTCGTAAGTCAAGTTTATTGCTGTCGTTGTTTATGATTATTTGCCAATGTTCTGGCGGCAGAACATTATCGGTATTATCGTCAGTCTCGCATCCAATTTGTTTACTAATTCTTAGAAAACAAATTTTCCTACTAGACAGGAAATGTGTTCTGAGGTTACATTGAAGTAAAAGCATAGCAACTTTCCTTCTACCGAATGTATTAATTATCTACACGAAACTTGGTAAAGATGTATATCAAAGTAAAATACCTTGGCAAAGGTAGGATACCATTGTGCGATGCTAATAATTGTTGCATACGAGCCTCGAGAACTTTCAAAGAAATTTTTACATTAGGCAAAGATGCCATTTCTTGTTCCGCCCAACCTTTGTCAGATGTTAACGGCTTCATGGTATGAATCGTACAATATGGCAACTTAACTTGTCCTTCCTGCAAGTATTATTCAATATCTCTCACATTTAACATCTAAATAAAATCTATAAGTATCTAACGGCATAATATATGCGTTCAGCACAAAATATCTACGCTTCACAGTATGATCAAAGTTCCTCAACAGTAAAGGAAACTAAGAGCTCTACCTGTACCAGAAGAACTCAGACTCGGCTTCTATCCATCATTTTGTCAAGTTACGAATAATATTTGTACAAGGGTATAATGTAAATAACACACCTGGGTCGTGTTACATGGCGACGGTGTGTTCCTATGATCCGGGTTGAGCGAAACCATTCTGCCACTTGTATCTTCCGTAATTAGGCACACATCTTTCATTTTGTATAATTCGGACACGCTTATGGAAATCATGAACCGGCTCTCGTACATCTCGCGGAATTTGAACAGCGGGAGCTTGTGTCCCGGGACCTCTTGTAGGAGCATCACGATTTGCGCACGAATAAGCTGCGGATTCGGGCCACCGGTGTGAGCGTACGATATCAAAATGCGCTTGTAGCCTATTTTACGGCGATGCAACTGCGAAATTGCATATTGTGCATCTGACAACGAAGGTACTCTGACGCTAGCCGCGAAGTTACCGTCTGACTGCATAAATACGGAAATATGTAATACCTGAAAGAGAACAAAAATCAGAGATATTTTTCGTATTTTTACACAAAGTAATTGGACAAATTAACAGCTGTTTGGTTTAATCCTCTTTAAACTTCTCTCTCTCTCTCTCTCTCTCTCTCTCTTTCTCTGATAAATAACTTCTTGAGTCAAATAACTTACTGTTACATGTTCTGCAAACACAGACGAAAGGATCCGTTTTAAGTCTTTCGTATCAATGTTCTGATCCAAATTCGTTACTTGTAGTTCAATAGTTGTATTAGCGCCGTTATTTGTGCCGAGTGTGGTACGATTGTTTATAGGGTTGAACAATTTCTGGGGGAATAACAAATTCATAAGTCACAGAGAATATGTCGCAAATTAAAAATATACCAGCCTTTTGTAAAAACAATCAAAAACAATACCTCCACTTCCTCATTTTCTGCATCGCTCAGGTGTGAACGTGAGGTCTGATTGTGTTGTCCCGTTCCTTGTAATACATTGCTTTCGTAAGGTGATGGCGTTCTATTACGCGTAGAAATTTGTTGATTCTAAGGACAACGAGCAAAAATAACATTTATTTCTCTAAATATCTTTATCCAATATTATGTATGTTATATGTGTGCGTTTGTGTGTGTGAAAGATAAACAATAAAGAAAATTACGCTTGTACCTGGCCATTCCATACATTTTTCTCTCTAAGTTGTGCGTCATATAGTGGGGATGGACTACGCCGTTTAAAAAGATTCGCTTGTCCTGCTATTTAAATAGTAGATTGATAATATCATCATAATATGGTCGTAATAAGAATATACGAGATAGACTACAAACCACTGGCGTTATAATTAGGCGGAACAGCTAACTGTCGTCCTCCAATCCATTCGGAAGTATGAACGAACGAACTGTGCGTGCCTCTGATGCGTCTAAGGCCTTCGGGAGTACGAGAAAGAGCAGTACTAGAAATATTATTGTCTCGAACTTGCGAGACGTGAACTCGCTTCCCTAACTTCTGCTTCTCCATCTTTAAACGATTGTTCTGTATTATGTATTGTTGCGCACAAGAGGATATTATATAAATAACGGATTAACAACGAGTTTTATAAGAGATTGTAAAAGTCAAGTGAGGTTACAGTTGTGGGCAAAGAGAAGAGAAACAAAAGAGATTGTATTTCAAATTTTAAGTGTTCATCCCCATGAAACTAACTTTGTATTGTTCTTCCCACAGCTGGCCATATGATTGAGGTCCTGGAACTTGCCAAATTAATGGCGACTGCACTCTACCAAGATCACTGTATGTTCTATTAAAAACTATATCATTATTATTTGGGTATGATCTCCCATAAAATATTGGAGGTTGCTGTACCACCCTGCAAAAAGTAAAATAAAAATATCAACGTTATGTTTCCATTATAATTTTATGATTAATAAATATAGTTTAATACATTATCAGATAAGATCAAAGACTTGTTTCATAGCCCGAATCAGCAAGGATAAAAATCTACTCGCGACTCCAGAGCTCTTTCTCGGATTGTCCATCATGTAAAAGACTTCTTAAGTTATCAGAGATCTAAAATTTAAATGAGAAATTCAATAAATTTACCCTGATGTGGTATTGACAGATGCACAATGAGTGTTGAAAGTAGGATAAGCACCCACTACAGGCGACGACGATTGATAATGTGGAAACTGCAGGGTTCTTGTCCCTGATACGGAGGTGCCTGCACCACCGTACATTTGCTTAGAGGAGTTAGCAACAATTTCAGATTCACTAACTGCACGACTACGCGTTATAATACTTCCTGGAAGAACGTTATTAATTATATCAAGTTCAACAATTGAGAACCTGTTTATATTACTCAAGAGGAATTTCGTCAATAATCATACCTTGGTTTTTGATTGTATTTCCTTTTTCTTTATAATGTCTTACAGATATTTTCGACGAAAGAACATATTCTCCGTCCATACGTTTCTGAGCCCTGTAAAAAAAAAAAGAAAAGAAAGATCATATTGTGTTATTATATAAATCTATCGGAAGGGAAGCAGACAACTTCAATACACAAAACAAGCAATATCACTTATAAGTGACCTTGCAGATATAAGAATATACAAAACCTAAACATAAGTTGACAACGTGATTTGGACAACGTGACATATGACTACTTATTATCACAAAATTTTACTCCGTATAAAAATTTATACTATACACAGGACATAAATTTGTTCATATTAAATACAAATATATATGTAGTAATATGTAAAGAAGACAATGCACGCACGCATACGTATGTAATGTGTCGTATAACTTACCTCAAGTGGAAGTAAAGCCATTACATCAAGTTAACATTGGGATATAACACTTAAAATAAAATAATAAATACGCTAACAATATATTATTTTCTATAATCTTTTTATAATAATCCCTAATATATATATGTATATATATGTAACTTCTTGCAATAAACCCTGATATGCACTAGCAGTAATAATAGTGAGCGAAATTGATATGATGTTCTTAGGTGCTTAGGTGTTCATTATATTATTACCTGACACTTAAAGTGTCCCTTATTTATGTTTTCATCCCTACTACATCAACATATAATTATTTGTTCTTCTCTGATATACATATTGCTCCAATAATAGAACAGAAAATATGTAAGGCTGATTTACACGAAATAGAGGCGGGCCGTTTGAATAGAAATTGAACACATCTGTGTGTACGATCGTACATAAGTAAACGATAGATACAAATAGGAAAAAGAGTAAATTCCAACATTGACAAAATACCTGTCTGCAGAACTCTGCGATGTAAAGCGTACAATGGCTGTATTGGACTGAACATCCACCACACGACCACCACAGTTATCAGATAATTGCTTAAGACGACGTTTAATGACTACAACATCCTTTTCATCAGGAAGGTTACTAACTAGAAGGTCATAGGACTCAACACCCTGAAAGTGTTAAATTATTTTGATAGATAAAATAAAATCATATAAGACAGACTAAGCATGCAAATATATTTTAACATACTATATATTGTATACATTAATTAGTTATAAATTAATCCATGTACTAAGATAAACAAAGTATATTTTCAACATACACAAACGTAAAACAATATGTACAATTGAACATTAAAAAAAGAAAATAACATAACATATATACTCTCAATGTGTGTGTGTGTGTGTGTGTGTGTGTAATTATATATATATAATTATTAATTATATTGGAAGCAGCTGGTACTGATTGTGCTAATCCTTCTGTATCAATGTAATAAATTATATATATGATCTGTACCAGCTGCTAACATAATCCTATTACAAATATTATATAATCTTGTAATATCAGTCTTCTCATACCTTTGCTGGAGTTCTGGACGGCAGTGGTTCCATGAGCTCCATAAAGTCATAGTGTTCGTTAGCACACAATATTAATGCTTCTGAGGTATTTTTCTTATGTAGCAGTATCACATGAATCCTTTTTCTATGACGTAAATCACTGAGATCAGCGGCAAAATTAATATCGCCGGATATTAAGATTATAGCTGCTGGGCTACCATGAATGTCAGCAAATCTTCTGATAGATTGCTTAAGTTTCTCGTCAGCAGCATTCTTGCATGTAGCAGCTACGTGTATTAAATTAACCTAATAAACATACAACTAGAGAAAATAACATGTATAATGAATTGATATTAACCCTTTGCACTCCGGGCCTTTTTCGCACGGCGCGGAGTGCAAAGGGTTAATAAAATCAAGTTATTCAGTTAATTTACTTGAGCGTCATTCAATTCCTGTATGATTTGGTTGTTTTCTTTTTGAACGTCACAAACTACAATAAATTCTGCTTCCCTATAGCCACTAAAAAATGTATCCCTAATTACTTGCGTAACTGCTATGGCGGATCTACCCTTAGGAACCTATAATATAATCATAAAATATTGTAATATTTTCTTAAAAATATATACCTTTGTCATGCAATCTCTGATAGAAGAAGTTTTGAGCCTACTTGACAATTCTCAATGTCCCAGAATACACCGATAGGTGGAAGATAATTTGGTGCAGTTGGCATATTAACTGGGCTGTCATGATGCATAAAAGAACAGTCATATCTACAATGACTGAACAATGGAGAAGCAGATGCCTCTAATTCTATTTTAGAACCACTATTATTTCCTAATCTACTATTACACAATGATTGGTTTTTATTAGCTGCTGCATCTGACGATGAGACTTTTTGTGCACTTAACAATTGCAACAGCCTTTCATTAAGACCTTCAATCTCGTCGTTAACATCCGTACAAGGTGTACGGTAATTCAAAAATTCCTTGTCTGCCATATGTTTCACAAATTGTCTTGCCAATGTTTGGCTGAAATTGGATAAGAAATTATTATATAATAAAAAAAATCAGAAAAATGTTCTGATATATAAGTATATATCATGATATTTATGTACTAAGTATATACTTAAATCTGATAAATATATATGCATTCTCACCGCAAATATGTTGTACTTTTACAAAATAAAATTGTACAAACTTAAATAAGAACAATATAAAATTGGATAAGAGTTGAGATAAGAGATCAGATAAGAGATTGCAAAGAATAGAAAATACTCAAGACTAAAGGATATTAGATGCTTTATAAGCAGCGCTTAAATATCTTTGTGGTAAGAGAAACGTGCTTCGTACTTTATTAAGTTTTTTTCCAAAACTTAAACCATACTTTAATTTGTCAAATAACATGATCCAAAAATGCTTGATTTGTTACCTGAGAAATCAGCCATCATATTTTTCACGATTTTCTGTGCAAATCGCAGTGTCAATAAATATAATAGTTAATTTTTTAATACAATCAACATTGGACCAAAATTACGGGCACACACATACTCTGTATAAAAGTCCATAATTTCACCTATATATATGTATATATATATATATATATATATCGGGATCAAAACACGAGTTTAAGAAACGTGAGTTCGCGTGCACCACTGCAATTTTCCTTTTGTATCTCTCTTCAACTTCTTTGTCTCAACTATTGTCTAATCGTACAATATGAAGACACATTTCGAAGTCACGTTTTTACTATGCGATCAAATAATACACTTGCGATTAATATTCTTTTAATAACACACGTAAACCAAACAGAATGTTTAGTTTATCGAGTACACATACATCCGGCCGTTCCGCTTGACTCGCGGCACTAAAGTTGGAATTTCATGCAGAGAAGTAAAGTTGGCGTTTTGTCTGTAGACATACGTTCCGCAAAACGCATCATGCTGTGCATTAGGGAGAATTCATACCTTGGCACAGAAAAGCAGCAATCAATCAGAATTCACGTTGATAGTCGGTAGTGGCTGCGTCAGTAGAGGAAGTAGCTTTACTACTGTTGTAAAAATTATGAATCTGATTGGAGTATACTCTTATGCCGGTATTCATAGTCATTATATTTAAACCTATCTTAAGTTTATCTTCAGATGCTTCGTGGCCAATGAAAGTAGGCCAATGAGTCGTAGAGTATCTGAAGATAAACTTAAGACGGTCTTAAATATAAGATCCGACTATGAATACCAGCTAAAGAGTGATGTTTTCGAATATAACCTGGGTGTTTTAGAACAACTAGTGTCTAGTAGTGTGCACAAAGTGTGAACGCGGCAATGTATGCTGTACGGCGGAAGTTCGCGGGGTGGTCAATAAACTTCTAGTTCTTACTGGAAAACGCCATGTTGATTGATTACCGAGCGAACTTCCATTGCGTTGCAAGCGTTGCCGCGTCCTATAGGCAGAAGACATTAAGCCCATATCGGAAAACGGGTTAGGATTAAGATTGAATTACAATTTGGCCAATCAAAAGAAGATTCGCCAAACTTCAGTTTAGTGAACTTTGTTCCGATTAGTTACATTTCAATACAAGTACAATTCATATATACAATACATATTTTGTAAGAATTTTTGACATACGATTTCTCGTTTCTGACGTCATTAAACAAGGACAGTAGCAGCGACTGATTAGGAGCCTTATTACTATAAAAATATAAATTTTGGAAAGAATTCTGATTTGGAGAGACATCTTAAATCGGCGGCATACGACACTTTCGTGTTGGGTTGCTCGCTGGATAGAAATACTGCGTTTTAATTGGCGTATTTCTATTCATTTTCGAAAACCAATCAGAACGCAGTATTTCTATCCAACGAGTAATCCAACGCGAAACAACACCATGTGCCGCTCGCTTTACAGATTTTACTAGAATCGATTTTCATAGAATCGATCTTTCTAGTGAATCGATTTTAGTTGTTTCGATTCAAAATCATTTCAAGAATCGATTTTTATGGTGACAATCTTACATCCTTAGTACTAATGCCGGCGGTACTGCAACTTTCAAGCTTTATAACATGAAAAGTACTTGATGAAAATAATTTTGTTATAGTGTTTTGAAAAGCTCTCGAGGTAAGCTACAAGAATATGCAACAAAAAGTAGGGATTTCCATTTAAGAAATTGAAGATGACCTTCATGTGACCTTCAAAAGACTATCAAAAGTCAAACCAATGTACCACCTTATGTCCCCCTCCAAACTATACATACTTTTATTTTACATGAAACATTTTTCTCCGAAATGCACTTAAATTTCCCAAAAAATATTTCAGTGTCAAGTTTTCCAACACTTTTTCGAATTCAAACGCAACGTGATTTGTTTTCCAAATCATTAGAACTAGTTGATCGATGAAATTAACGTGGTAAACATCACTTTGAAATCTTCATGAACGTTGCAACTCTTCTAATTGACAATTGAGAAGATGAACATCAGCCCTTTCCTTGCCACGGATGCAAGATGCAAAATGAGATTTGTCGAAAAATCGGAGATACAAGGGAGATACGAATATGCTAAAATATGAAAGTTGAGATTTAATTTTTACAAAAATATAAACAGAATCCGCTGATAAGCCAACCGCGAAAACGAGAAGCTTGGCGTTTCCTGACATCTCCTAGTTCTGTTCAGAAGTCAGTCCGCGAAGTTGTGCGGTCCCGAGGATCGCAAAGATACTTTATCGGTAGGAATGGATGCAGATCTCGTTATTTGTGATCTGGAAGAAAATATCAAGGTGAGTCTCATTGTGCTCTTGTGGAACAGACTGTATTTGATTAATCAAGGCACACTAATTGAAAGGGTACAATATCAAGGATACAACATAATTTTTTCCGCCGTTTGAGTTTTGCTACAGGGAGTTCCATATCATTTTTCTTTCATGACTATTCAACGTGAGGTGTATGTTTTATTCTTAGAGTATAGACAAGTTATTTTTCCGAACTATTATTTTTGTATGATATAATTAATAGTAACATCAATAGAGACCTCTCTGTAAACAAGAAATCATTAATACAACGTTATTATATTTCATATAACATGTAACGTTTTTAAATATGTAGTTCCTAATGTTGTACACATCATTGTTAACAATATTTGATCCAAACATTAAAAATAATATTTCTACACTATTATTTTAATATTTATTATATTATTATATTATTATTATATTATTTTATTAAGTAACAGTTGAAAAATATTTATAAACTATTATGTTAAAATGTTTGTAAAATTCATATAAAATCAATATTTCGAAAGATTAATTTAATGCTTCTTACTTACTGTCCTTGTATTCTAGCGCTTGTAGAGTTTGATGTCCCTAGGAGATATTTCAGAAAGTATCCGTTTCTCTTCATTTCACTTCATACAATGCTTTATGGAACATTTAAAACCTATTAATCGATTGTGGATATCAGGTAATATTAAAAAAAAAATATTATTTTGAGATTTTTCTTAAGTATATCGCAGAATATAAGTGGAAACAAACTAATTAGCCTGCTTACTAAATCTTTCATATATTTCGTTTATATATATATATATATTAATTTCGTTTATATAAATATATATATATATATATATCGTCTTTATATAAATTAAGTGTATTATTTACTTTTATATTGTAAAAAGGGAAATAACTGTACTTTCCCGTTTACTTAATAAAATAATAATAATAGTTAAGTATCAATAATTTAGAAATCCGGTGAGAACGAAATTTCAAGATACTTATCGCTCTTGCGATGTTGGCGATCAGAAATCCACCTGAGAGAAATGTCATTTAAGAATTGGAAAAATTATACGTATGATAATGAGCCAATCCATCAAAATATCAGCGTGTTGGCCCAACAGTGAGAACGTTCATCGATGATGTCGCGAGATTATTTCAAAATTCGCGAGAGAAGGACGTATGTATTCGTAAAAGTGAAACCCGCGTTGCGATGCGAGCGAATCTTGTTCGGTATATTGGTCAATGGGGCACCGATATTCATAGCAGGTCGCGCGCAACGTTCCTCCGGAACTTATCCAAGTGAAATGTCCCGACGTTTCGCGTCGTCGAACTTTACGTTTCGTCGATTATGCCTCGACGCGCGATTTACTTCGCCTTGATCCGCGCGCGAATATTAAGCTCCCGCTAGACCAGAATCACCTGGCTTTAACGCCTTTGAGAAAACTTTATGAGTCGCTTACGCGTGAGGTAATAATTTCGCAAATAATTGCACAAGTAGTTAACATGCGGACAGAATACGAGAACATTAAACGTGAACGTGTGCGAGGTGACGAGTACATCGAGAATAAGGAAATAATATATTCCGAATAGAAAACAAACCAGAATATGGCTTAGTTATCTCTGTTATCTCAAGTTAATCTTGATATCTTAGGATATCCTTACGATGGATTTCCGCACGACACGTGTTTTTCACACTGCTTTTTTTTCATACCGCCTATTTGCGCCTTGGTGGATCGCACACGATTGTCCTGTGTGTGTGGATTTTCTATTTTTAATGTCCTTTGAAAGGAGAACGCAAAATGAGAATAGGCAGTCCGCGTGCTCGTCTTGAGCATGCGAAATACACCGGACAACCGAACGAATCTGCCTCGAAGAGGATGGGAGTGGCATTCACCGTTCCACCGGCACGGTATCTGCGGTATAAAAGCAACCTCTGTCGCCGCGCGCTCAGTTTCATTCCGGAGCGGCCGATCGTGAAATACGATACTTTCGACGTGAGTACCCACGACCACCTAAGCCCCCAGCCGAGAGATCTCACGTCGTCATACTCTTCTATCTGGATTGAAAGATCTCGAAAATAAATGAGCGAGTCGCTCTCGATCGGATTCGCGCGAATCGGTCTCTCTTTGCCGCGTAACTGCAAGTTCCACACCTCTTGTTTCTCTTTCCTTGCGCGCATTCTGTGCCACGGAGTCTTAAAATGAATATATTTAATCACAAGAACAGTTGCAACACTTTTTACGACGAATTTCGCAACGCATCTCGTATCCAATAGGAAAATTATTATTATTATTTATTTGAGTTTATGAGAAAAATCTCCCTTGATACAATGAATACAGAAAAGTTAACGCTTGCAGAGAGACTGTGAATAAAATACAAGAATAAACGAGTTATAATAGTAATTTGAATAACAGAATCCTGAGAGATACTGAAAGATATATATGTTGAATATACACAAGTATTTTATGTTTAAAGATTAAAAGATTCGTGTTTTTAAAGACCAAAATAACAAGAATGTTCACGATCAAGCACGTATCTAAATATAGATACTTATACTTTATTCCTTTGGTACGTAGCATCATTGATAAAGTAAAAGTAGATCAGCACAAAGAAATAGTGAAAATATACGAGAAATAGAAAGGAGAAACAAGAGAAGAAAGTAAATAAAAGCAGAAAAGGATAATAATGACAAGTTAAACAAACGCATTCGAGTGATCAATAACTTATCAAAAAAAAAGTGTTGGAATCTTTTTGTGGCTGAGACTATATATATCTCAGACGACACGAAACCTAAAATCATAAGACGTTTTTAAGATACTTTTGAGACGTCTATAAGACGTCTTATGTTCCGATTTTAGATCTTGTGCTGTCTGGGATGCGAGTGGAAAATGTAGACGTTAACATGTATCGTATCTTTCTCACGAATCCGCGTCGCCGAATTCATTTCCAAACGCCGCGCGATCGAGATCGCGGGAAAAATCATAATTACCGCGCTCCGTATCAAGATGTAAATTTTTATTCGCTCGCTCTCCGTCGCTCGATCGCACTCTGAGCTATGGCAAGTTACAAAATCCCTCCTCGTGCATCGCATCGTAACGCTGCTCCAATTCCGCAATCTCAAGGAGAGATCGAACGACGCTCCTGGAATATGTGCACGTCGTCGCTCTCTCGACAGTTTCGACAGCGACGAGACTCCGCGACCGACGCTTCGTTTCTCCGATCCGCGCGATTCAAATTAATGAACTTACAGTTGGATAACGATCGAAAGGATCGGTAATCTCTCACGGAATTGCCGCGCAAAAGAACAACTTTGATTTCGAAACCGCGATTGCCGATCGAACGTCTTCCGAATTTGGAATCTCGGTCGTTCGTTCATTATATAAGTAATACGTAAAATTTGTAACATTAAAAAAAGTAGAAGGGAAGATGGTATTATGGCCTCCCATTTACATTGTGTACAATAACTTTGTTAATAATCAATATTTCTAATTGAAAACTCAACGATTACATTTGCCAAAGTGTTGCTCAGTCGATTCTAGTCCCAAAGTTATGAAAATATTTATTACACAGGACGTTATTTTGTAACAATGTGACGATATTGAATAATAAGTCGAAATGTAGCCTACCAACTATTAAGATAGATTAAAAAAAAATTGTTTAAAAAAATGTTCTGTCATAAATTTATGTATTCAAAATAAACTCTTAGAGAAGGTAATACGATAAATATAACCGTGAATTTTTAATATAGACACTGACTTACTTGTCAGCAACTTGTCAATACTTGTCAGGTAGATACGAACTGTCAAAAAGACAGTTTCCACAAAACGAATCGACACTTTTAAACTTAACTTGAATTATTGACTTATCGAATAACTAATTCGACATGAAAGTCTCGAAAAAGTTGCCGCATTAAATCTATTTTAATAGGGGCGCCAAATTAGCAAGATGTCACGCTATTATCTAACTTTGCATAACTCGAAATGTGAATAGCGGTATAAAGTGTGAAATAACGAACAAAACGCTCATGTATGCATATATTCGTGTGATAATACGTTTAAGAGGAATGAGGAAGTATGTGTAATTAAGTGCTAAAACGTAGCATATTGAAACAATTTCGAAATGCTCGAAAGTAAAAGTGCGTTATAACAAATGCGGCTATTAGCGTATTAATGCCATTGCATAACAGCGGGTCAAATAAACTAAATAATTCCATAAGTAAGGTAAAAGTAGCAATATCTGGACGCACATCTGACTCTGGGCATTCTTGTTGTTTTGGTCTTTAAATATACGAATATCCGAATGTTGAACACAGAATATACATACATACATACATACATTGAATATATACAAATATTTTACATTTAAACATTTTAAACGTTCGTATTTCAAGATCAAAGCGACAAGAATGTCCACAGTTAAGCCCAGGCATCGATACTTTTGCCTTAGTCGCTAGAATTCGTCACTCACAATAGCGGAGATATTAAGGAGGATCGTAACACCTACAATGGCCACAACACCATCTTCTCCTTCAACATTTATAACTGATAAAGACAAAGACTCGAGATATCCTCCAAGCTGCGGCAGCGTGCGACCCGGAATCATCGATACGATCTCGCGAACGCCACTACCGAACTTTCCTTCTTTTTCGCGCGCAGATGCGGCTTCACGCGATAGCACTGGGCGCGTTGCTCCTGGCGGGCATTGCTTCGGCGTATCCGCAGAAGGACGGACAGATCTTCAGCAACGAGGCGATACGGCAGGCTCAGAACACCTATCTGATCCCGAAGGACGCGACTATACAGAAGGTTCAAGAGGGCATCGAGCTCGCCGCTTACGAATCGATCCCCGGCGACCAAAGGATCAATCTCTTCGAGATCCTGGGCGAGCACGTGCCACCCGAGGTGGTGAACAACCTTCAGGGCCAGATCGATCAGATCGGCCGAAACTGAGCGGCCGTCCGTTTCCGTACAATCGTCGTCGTCGCCGTCGTCGTCATCGTCATCGTCATGTAAAAACAATCATATCCCGGGCGCCCTGCGACGCCCATCGATAGAAATATTTATGAACCCAACGCTCTTCCCTCTTTCATACCTTACACTCTCTCTCTCTCTCTCTCTCTCTCTCTCTCTGCGTGTACTCTTTCTGTATCTTTGAAAGTTTCTCAATGTAGAACGATTTTTCACTTTTCGTAAATAAACGTACGTAAAAAAGGCAGCTCACGTGCGTATCACCCACCGTCGACATTGCACACCGTTCCCTCGCGAGTGGAAAGCGGTTTGTGTGTTGATACGATACACCAGAGTCGCGCGCGTGCACGGGTTCAAAAAAAGCGCCTATCTCCCTTCCTTTATACCCCCGATGGAATTATCTCACCGAAGATACAACGAAGACGTACTTGAGAATTTCTCTCAATTTATCTTTTCATCAACATCTCAGTAAAAGAATGACTTTAATCGATATTTCATCAAGTTTCAATTATTATACTTGGTCAATTTTATGATATCTGATGTTTCACAATTTTTTTACTACATTGCGTTTCATAAGGAAAATTACGATTCATTTTTACATACATTCAGTAATTCTTCAATAGCTTTCACTTCAATTTTCATCGATTTCATAATACTTTCGGTAAAAAAAATCCCCATCAAGGACGTTAAAGGTTGCATTCGGCAGAAGCCAACGCTAAGATCATTACTTAGCACTCGATGATTGTCTGTGATCGGAGTACACTTTCAGATCTCTGATCGGTCCAGAATAACATACCAATCAGAGACAATAATCGTGAAGTGCTGACGTCTGCTGAACGCAGGTAATTGCATTCTTTTCTCTCTCTCTCTCTCTCGTCTGTAATACCGTATGATCGCCGTGCATTATCTCGATTGGCGGTCCGTTTTGCATTGAAAACGTCGTTCCGCGTCGCACGGCAATTTGCAAATCGTAAAGTTAGTCACGTATTCTCGTGAGGATCCTTTTAGTTTGAATTATGTATGCCGCCAGTAGAGAAAGTTGCAGAACCGCTCGTTGAAGAAGCGTACTTTCACTTCTTCTTCTTCTTCTATTCGCCGCGTTTTACCGAACGCCCCGCGGCTCCTCTCTGCCATTTATCGCACGACAACGACGACGACACACAGACGCAGCTCTCTGCGCGTCGGGAATTTCTCGACGGATCTGTCGAGGCGCACTGATTACGGGATCGTGTTTTCTTTTTTTCAGTTATTATCCGCTTTGCTAATTTTATTGTCTCGTTATACGTAATACAATATGCATTCATAATGTCGAATGGAAGATCATGATTTTTCTGCGACTTTCACTTTCTTTTCATGTTGCGCCGGCCTTTCGCGCGTCCGCGGCCTCCGTCGGCGCAGACGTGACATAACGTTTAGCGTTAACAGCTCGGATCGTTCCGCGTTATCCGCCGTTGTACAAAGGCTTATCGTTCGTAAAAACGGCTGCTGCCGCGGTGTAGCGCTTTCCGTCTCCCGTATAATAATTTCTCATGTACATACTCGGATCATTTTTTTCAACGTGTTGTTTTCTTTTTTTTTTCTTCCCTATTATAGTTATTATCTCTTTCTCGGTAACACAGCGCGAGAACTCCTTTCACGAGTAAGTGGGGCGTTTAATAAAAAAACAATCACTTTCATGTATCAACACACATTACATACATTTTAGAATATCAAAAACCACAAAGAGCGATATTTGTACATTAATGATAAATAACTTAAGAACTGTTTATTTCACGATGATAAGGTACAAATCTGAGAACTACGCAAACGAAATTAATCATTGTTTGGATAAATATTCTTTTTCATTCCGCTCTGTAGCGCACAGAGCGACAAGGAAAATTTGCGAATGTATCCTCCGAGTAATCAAAGTCGAGAAAAATAGTCGTACAAAACACGCTTTGCGAAATAATCCCAATATATGCGCAAAAAGACTTCGTATTTCATCGTAAGCACCGGGGAATTTTCTATCAGGACCCACAGTACAGTAAATCATATTTGTTTGTTTTCTTTAGTACATTGTCTTGCATTTCTGTTTTTCTTTATTTTTTTTTCCCCCTTTATTATTACCATTCGTGTAATATCTAACCACTATCAGAGATACAGTCACCCCTCGCTACCCGAATCTAATAAGTTTCTGAGGACGATTCGGCCGGACGAGAAAGTCGACTTCCATTACTGCTTATCTTAATTCATTGTCTTTATACGCTGTACGTGTCATCGAGAACTTAACATAGGACAGATTCATAATATGATTACATTTATCTGATATGAAATGGAATGAGACGCGTAACTTAACCTTACAGACAACTATAGTATAACGTGTAAACGGCAAAACTTAAAAAAAAAAAAAAAAAGAAGGGGGAAGAAAATAAGATCTCCGAGAAACTTCTTTCTTCAAGACACGCTAAATAAAATTCAAATGCACTACTTGCGCATTCCTACGTACTCGACTTCATACAAAATTTTATTCGTATGTACACACGAAAGCTCACATCAAAATGGTTACGGGATGTTAAATGTAAATATCATTGTTATTATAAGTAAAACTTACTACAAAATGAAAACTGAAACGCGCATGTCGGTAAAATACTAGAACTGTAAACTAATCGTCTGAATTACCACACCACTCCGATCGATTCCTTCCTCGCTCTGCTCACCCGCGATGCAAGAAAATGTACTGTTCTTATGAACTAGTTAGTAGCTATATCTTAAGTAAGAAAGCTTCACTTAGCATGGTATTTCTGGTTGTGTGTGTTCCTGTGTGTTCTTTTCCCAATGTGCAGATCCCTCCTGTTCATTTCCTGCGGAAATTCGAGCGAATAAATACGAGGCCGCCACGAGCGCACAGCGGTCTGAGATTGATATTTCTTAGCAAAAAGTCACTTTTTTCAAGCTCTACTGCTCAAGTTGATGTAAACGCAATTTTATAACGTCCCGTAATCAAATAATCGTAAAATATTATTATTTACTACCCTTTTATTATTCATCGGTAAACATAATGCTAAAAATATTGCTCACTCAAAGATAACGTTTAGTTAACACTGTCAAAATTGTGCTACTTATTATATTATTTCAAATAGTGCGATAATGGCGTTATATATATTTAATGCGAACTAAAAGAATTTGCCAAGTAAATAATTTCACTTTATGTTATGTCTGTCTTATTCCTGAAGCGAGGCAATAACTAAATTTGTGATTGAAATAAGCATAACCTTACGATGAAAAAATGTTTTCTTAGCGAAATTTCAGGAAAAATTTTAAGTTTCTGAAAATTTTTGAGAAAAAAACTACAGCTGTGTAATATTAATCGCAAATATTTATACTATCAAAATCTATTATATTCATTTCGTACCTTCCTGCGCCTTTTAAAAATAAATGACCTTTTTTTAAATTCATATAACACGTCCTATCAGATTCTGTACGAGGTTTGGAGAAAATCAGAAAATGAAAATATTCGACTAAATGATATAAAATCCTTCCCAAAATTACGTAAATTCCTTTCCTATTCAAAAATATCGTAAAAGAACGAAATGACGCATCCCTTTTGAAAGAAACTATTGATAAGAAAATGAAGTTATTTGTATTCATCTATAAAAAAGTGAAATAACTGTTGAATTATTCATAAATATTTACTTTTCTCCTTTAAAGACATTTTATATAAAAAAAATAATCACTTTTATCAAGATTCAGAGTTTCAGCCAAAAATTTTTACTCTCAGACCACTGTGGAGCGGCTCGAAAAAACGACGAGTCCTACAGGCGTTTTGACTTACCTGGATCTCTTGGAACCTCTGTCGTTCCTTTCCGAGCTCTCCTCACGAGAACGCTTCTTGCTGGACGAAGAATGCGACGACTTGCTCTTCTCGTGCTTGTCGCTCTTTTTCGGACTAAACAAACAAATATTAATTGTAGCAACATCAAAGACACAAAACCCAGTGGTAATCACCTGTGTTTGGACGATTTGGAAGGAGACGCTTTCTTGTGCGAGCCCCCACTCCGCGATCGATCCGTTCTTTAATTATCAAAGCAGAACACTCAATATTCAGTTTGATAAAATAGAACGCACGGTACGTGGGAATCCCTACTTTTTACAATAAATCATAATTTACCTGTGTTTGTCCGACGACCGTTTGTCCTTACTGCTGGATGAGCTCTTGCTTTTTGAATTCGTCGAATTTTTGTGCTTAGAATTGTGCCTGAAACAAAACAAAGTGTAATTACAAAGTTACATTCGAAATCGACGTTGAACGCGCTTATCATGTGCACGTGTGCATTACCTGTCTTTCGAGGGCGATACCGATTGTCTTCGATTCGATTTCTTCTTTTTGCTGGAATTATAATCGTCGCGGAAACGATCGTCGCCTCTTTCTTTGTCCTCCTCGGCCGCCTCCCGTTCCAAGTCCGACCAGTCTTTTCCTTCCTCTTCAGAACTGCCCAATTCTTCCTCTGTAAAATACATAAGGCAAAAAATAGGAACGTGAGTTGAGGAGTAAAGCGATAAACGAAATAATGCAAAAACTTAATAAGGATTTAGAGCAAGCACCTTCGCTGTCAGAATCCTCAGAAGCTTCGGAGTATTCGCTGTCGTCGTCCGATTCTTCCTCACTATCAAAATCAGATGGCTACAAAAAGAAAAGAGAGAATTGCATTGCATTAACTATATATATTTATCAATTTATGGGTGTTTTGAAAAATTACTCTATATGTACAAACCTCATAAGCATCATCTTCTTCCTCTTCTTCATCCTCAATTTCCTCATTTTCGGCATCACTTTCTGGATCTAAAAATGTCCATCCCCCGCTATCGAAGAATCCCTCAGGATCGTCCGTTATGGTCTTCATAATCTTAGTCCAGTTCAGAGATTGAACACCTTCCGAATATCGAATATCGCACGAGCTGGAAGGAGAAAAAATAATCTGACAATTGCAAAGATGTTACACATATTATATATAAAAGGTGATGTTACTCACTTCAACCATTCCTTGACATGATCCAGCATGTTCATGGGAATGGCGTTCACCATCGCTACCTTTTTATGGTAATCTTTGAAGACGAAGATCATGTCGAAGTTCTTCAGATGGAATTGTACTCTTTCAAAGTGAACCAACTCGACGTCTTCCAGCGTAATAACAAACGGAGGCTGAAATCCAAATGACAGGTATTTTACCCATATTTGGCGGAAAAAGTTTATACGGTTTATCAAAATGCAATTACCCATTCGGTGAGATTAACTAAACAGCCGCTAGTCGGTTGAAGTAGAACGGTGCTTCTGTACGGTGCACCAGGGAATCCCAATTCTCGGAATGGCGTATCAAATTCGATATCTTGCTTCGTCATTCCTTCGACCTTTGTGTAACATAGTTGTATTAGTCATTGTGCATCAAAGATAAGTGTAAAGTCAGTAATTAGCAAGTTACTCGAGCCGACTTCGTAATACCTTCTCACAGAAACTTTTAAAAGCGGTCTTCAACTTATGCCTTAGTTCTCGTTCCGATTGCTCGGCGGCAAGATCATCGCGATCGTGCATGTGTTGATGTTTGCCTAAATCCGTGGTAATTTCACCGACTTCCGTGTAAAATTGCACGTCAACGTGTTTCTTTTTCCCAAACATAATAGCATGCTGAAAAAAAAAAGCGTAAATTGACGTATATATGTCCAATATCGTCCAATAAATATACATTATCAATAAGTACCTCTTCTTCAATAACAATGCAATAGATATCACTCTTCTAATTAAAAGACGATTAAATTGCCTCAATCGTTTTTAATAAATCAGATTGTTGTTATTATAGATTATCAACGATAATTCGGCACGTACTTTTAGATGAAAATGAAGTAGTATGATCATTTCACCGTCACACGGTTGGAAGAAGGCGTTCTTAATGTTATTGTAGAGAATATCCACTTTGTCTCCACGGACTGAAGTGTACCGGAATCCGTTGGCGTGCGCCTCCAAGCCACCCGTCATCCTCTTTGTAACGATATTCGGCCGAATATACAAATCCTTCAGTTTCGGGTTGCCCTTGTTCTGCGACAATATCAGAGTATCCTGTTTCACAAGATCCTCCTTCTCCCTTTCCTCCGCTTCCCGATTCTTGAATTTCTTCTGCACTTCCTTGATCAGTCTGAAGGCTGTGTTCAGGTTCGAGGACGGCGCGGATATTTCACCGGGCTCTTTGGTATTTGTGCTTCGATATGTTACTTCTTTAACGAAAGTAGCATCGGGCTGAGGGTAAGAACCACCTTCGTTTCGACCCATCGTCGCCCCGGGATGGAAGAAGTTGATTCTGAGATACGTGTAATCCCCCTCGACCGACTGCGAGATGTTCTTGATCGTTGATATGTGGAAGGGTACAGGTATGCCAAAAATAGGTAGAATCACAGTTTCGTACTTCTTATCCACATACAACTTCAACTCCTTCACTTCCGGCTCGCGCGGCATGTGACTCAGGCTTTTGTACGACACCGTGGACTTCCGTATCTTCTCCTGTTCCTTGCCACCGGACTGCTGGGCCAACCGAGCCTTGGCGACTTCGTTCAGCTGTTGAGCCAACTCCTTCTGATGTTGCTTCCTCTTCTCCTCCGAGCTGTGCTCCGTTCTCAGTTTAGATTCTATCACGGCCGTTCTCTTGCCACGGCCCAGGATCTCAGGCTTCGGCTCGTTCTCTTTCCCACTCCCCTCTTCCTCTTCATCCTCGTCGTCCTTCACGTATATGCCTATGTTTTTCACTTTCTTCTTCGACGGCGTCAAATTGCTGGCCGGTTGCCCTTCATTTACGATTACTGTGTCGCCTATGAAAAGGGCGTACGTCTTTCCCTCCTTATCCGTGGAATCCGGATTCGAGAGATTTGCGAGACCGACGTTGACGTTGAACACCATACCTTTCTTGGCTACCGCGTGAGTCTTCGGTCCCAGCAGCAAGGAGCTTTCTTTGAATTCAATGCCCATGGCAAATCCAAAATTTTTCGTCAAGTGATTCATCATTTCCGGTTTCTCATCCTTCACGAATTTTATACCAGTCTCGTACACCTCGCTTATCTTCGTCCCCGCAATTAGTTTCTTTAAGATCTCCTCTTCGAGTTGTAACAAAAAATTGTAATGTTCCTATAACAAAGGTTATACAAATTATAACTCGAATAAATTACGCGTAAATCTCACGCCCGGTAACACAAAAATGTGTGCATTGTGACATTAGGGTTATCTCGCTTCCTACGTACCTCAATTGTCTTTGTGGGATTAACCAATAGAGTTCTCACGATGTTCGAACAGTAGGATTTGTAACGAGCACCCAGTGAGCAAACAATGACGCCAAAATGAAGAGTGTTCTTGTCACTAACAACGCTAAATTTGAGGGAATAAGTGCCACCGCTTTGTATAATCGCAGGGTAACACATATCCACTTGCGTCACATCCACTCCAGTTACGTACTTCTTATTTGTAATGGCCGCATCAACGCCTTCCGCTAACTTTGAATGTTTAACTTTCTGAAATTCACACACGAACAATCGTTCATTCTTTTCGACTCTTCTCTTTTATAAATACCACATAATCATGCGCTAGATGTTAAAGGGACCATACCTTATCCGAATCTATAATCTCCATTATTTGATCCTTAAGATACTTATTGAAAACATCCACGGACACCAGACAAGCTTTCTTTATAGTTAGTATTTCAGTGTCTTCTTTTGGACACATGACATAAGCAGCTGCAGCGCTTACATCGACCTAAATGATTAATAGTTTATGAAGATTGATAATTTAGTTTTATGATTTTTAAACTTATGAACGCTCGTGTATATTGTTTATCCATGAAACGGAACATTCCGCACTTACTGTATCAAAAGACTCTGTCTTTAAAGCAGCCCTCCATGCATCCATAAAGGCACCTGGATAATTTTCCTTTGAAAATACTCCCAAAGTTTTGCCCTTTTTACTTTCCTTTATTATTTCTATGAGTTTTGTGAAATTTGCTTTGTCCTCGTCGCTCTTTAAGAAAATATTTACAGACATTCTTGCTGACGCTACTACTGATATTCCTCATTAAAGAAAGTTCCACATGTAAATTATGCGATATACTTACTCTGTCCCTCACAAATAATTTTACAGGCGGTACTTCTGTCTCTTCGGTCTTCTGGTTTTCCACTTTCCTCAAAAACTCAATTTTCTTTTTGCTAGCCAGAAAGCTGATGGACTCCTCTGCCAAAATCATTATCGTGTCTGTAAGTTCATAACTGAGCAGCCATGTCTGAAACAAAGCAACCATACATATTATACATAATTTCATCATATTTGTTAATAAGTCAGGGACAAGATCAGATCATTGATACACAATACATAGTTAACTCATAAGATTCATAAGTGACACAAATCGGAGGTACACACACCTGCAATGCTGTGGACTTGCTGTAAACGATATCCTCATCGGTGCCAACAGCGGAAACAAGGCAATCCATTTTACTGAAACTATCATCGGTGCCGACTTCTCCATCCTGTGCAAACAAAGAATGTAAGTAGAAATATGTACTTACAAAGGCTTGGCTCAAAAATTGATCGAAATAAGATACGTTACAACATTCAGCCATCTTCCACTTACCTTCCACGCGACATACAGGCGCTTCATGCGCCGAAAAAACGTATCTTTGTCGAGGGATACGTTTGCCATGATTCAACACGTTTAGGCACGAGGCTGTAAGATACAAATGTTCAAATGTGAGATTCTAATTAGCACTATATTCTCATGTAAACGGCGATAAGACGGAACATTTCGGATTCCGCGAAAATGGATTTAACTTTATTATATCTTTCTACGCTTGAATTGCTTGCAAATTTGCGCGTTACTAGTGGTAGATTAACGCAGACAAATTCGACCGTTAGCGACTGACGGCGATTGCAGGCGCACAGATGGCGGAATTTGTACAGGTTAATAATCTAACCTTTTCCTTCTGTATTCTTCTTTTTACAACGGTTCTATGCGATTTTCCATACGCCAATACTGTTTATAACCAAACTGCAAACCGCGATGCCGCGAATTGCTCTCGTCCGCGAACTAGAAAACTTAAGATTTCCGGCTGCATGTGGATGTGGCACAGGATGTGACAACTAGAGACCCCACAGTACAAATCTAGTAACTAGAACTCGTCGATGTCAGAGACAAATCTGAGGCCGGTATTCATAGAGGGATCTTACACTGAAGACCATCTTAAGCAATCATCTTAAGGTTTAAGCCAGCGGCACACGATGCTTGTTTTCGTGCTGGATTGTTTGCTAGATGGAAATACTGCGTTTTGATTGGTGTATTATATCCATTTTTGGAAATGCACCAATCAGAACGCAGTATTTCTATCCAGTGTAACGTCCTCATTCCCACTAGGGTATTAAGAATGACGTTTGCTCTCTTGTTTAAGGTCCACCTGCATTCACTGGCGCTACTTGAGATGTGACAGCTCTGCGTTGGGATAGGAATACGAATGTGGCGAAGGATTAAGCGAAGAATTGCCACTTTACTTCTTCTCTTTCTCGTTAAAACGGCCGAGAAACTTGAATTTCTATTAACCAGTTGTCACTAGATTAACGAAGTACCGCAATTCGGACGGCGCGCCACCCAGCGAGTTATGGCGGCGAGGATCCGCGCGCAAAACTGCCTCTCTTGGTGCGCGACAACCTGGCGTTCTGGGAGTCTCGTTGTTAGCTCGATCCGCAACACGTACAACGAGGCAAAACAGCAGAGCGAGAATCGTGGATTCGTAAGTAAATATGATGTAAATTCGATAATATAACATGCGACAAAATAATCAACCGTCTCAAGAATTTTCCGGACTTCCAAGGCGGTAAATTTTTAACGTAACTTATTAAAGTTCATGAGAAATTGTAGTATTTGATGAATCTTAACTGATATTCATATAGCTTTGTAGGAAATATGCATACTTTATGTTCAAAAGTATATCTAAAAATTAGATACGTATATGTTTTAAGCTGAAAAATCGCTTCTCGAGCCGTCTTATTACTATTATTCTCACCAAAGAAAGTTTTCCAGTATCATATTTTGATAAATAATAAACATTGCGAAATTTGAGTAAATCGTTTTACTAATGTTTATTAATAAACATTTCATATAGATTATTTGAATTTATTATAATTTAATATGTGTGTAGTTGTTCTTGTTCCGTGTGTGTCGTCGCAATTACAGTTTATCGTTATTTACACTATTCAGTATAAAATGCGAGTTCGAAATTAAATCATCGTCGTCATCGTCATCATTGTCACACCACTATGCTGATTTATTATTATTATTATTATTATTATAACATTTCCTCCTCTCTCCTTTCTCTCTCTCTCTCTCTCTCTCTCTCTCTTTCCCTCTCTCTCTCTCTCTCTCTCTCTCTTTCTCCCTTTAATTTCTTTTATTTTCCCTCGGACACTATCTGTCATCGATTAATTAGTTATCAATGCTTGTACTCAGGAAAATGCGTAGGGGGCAATAGGGCAGTATTTTCGTTATCACTAATGTTGTTGATAATTAAATCTTTAGAAGAATTATTCATTATGTTACAATCTAGACTAAAATAATCGTCTATTGGGCATTTGTTAATGTTAGGCATGTGGTTAACATCGATTTCGCGAACTTCGCTTAGCTTTTGCTGTTGTTGCTGGGTTTGAGCATATTCGACCTCGGCGTTGCCGTCGAGGCTTTCGTCGGTTTGTGGGGGAGATGGATAATAGCCGCGCTGCTTGATTGGCAGTTGTTCCACCGGCAGTTGGTGTTGCTGTTGCTGCTGCGGCTGTTGCTGCTGCTGCGGCGGCGGCTGCGCCTGCTGCGCTTGCTGCTGCGCCTGTTCTTGCACCGGCAGCTGCATCGAAGGCGGCGGGGGCGGTTGCTGCGGCGGCCGGTGCTGCACTCCGTCCTCACTAGTCCACCGGGCTACTTGTTGTTGAGCTTGAATAAATGCATCACTAGAAAATAATAAGATTACACGAGCCCATTGGATCTAGTCCACCGCCACTAATGCTGCATTCGAACGCGGACGTGACAACATTCAGTAAACGTCAACGGAGAGAAGGGAAAAAAGAGAAAGGAAAGAAGAGAGATGCCGGTCGACCTGGAGACGGAGATGTTAGCGCATACGTGATCACTTTCCTTTGGGCTGAGCTTTGCTTTTCTTTCCCTTGAACGACGTGACAATAGTTTACAGTCTCTCGAGTTTCTCTACCTAATGATTTCTGATTGGTCAACGATTTTCTACGATCTCTTCTGTAGAAATCATGCACTAATTTACTTGTGAGAAATGATGTTCCAACCATATTTTTCATGATTTTCATAATTTTTTTACAGCATAGAACTTTAACATTTTTTTCGTTTATCCTGCTTCTTACCAATAATATTATAATTTCATCAATTACGAATTCAGTACTTTGAATAAACTGATATTTTCAATTTTCAGTATAACACAGAGTTCAGTGATCGTATTTAATTAGTCAATTTCGACGTTAATCACCGTTAATTGGATCTTACCAGAATTGATGAATATCAAAGTTTATGAATTTAAGAATGAAGATTTAACAAATGAGAAATCCAACTGTTCTCCGATCATTCTGAAGAGTAAAGCATCACGTGCACTCGCATTAACCGAAACATTAAGACATTTAAAGCACGTGCAAAGCTTTGCAGTTCGTCACTACGATCACTACGATAGCTAATTAGATTCAACACTTGTCACACACACACACACACACACACACAAACCTTCGAACATACTAACGAAGGAAAGTCTTCAGATAAGGATAAGTGCGCACATCGATCACAATGTAAATTGTTTTGATTGAAGAATGAATGTCAGGGGAGATCTCTTCGCAGTCACTTTCGCGAACGATCGAGAGACTCGTCCGTCGTAATTACACGAGTCTTGCAATGTATAAAATACACTACGGAAGCAACATGCGCGAAATTTGACCATGTACACTCGTAGATTCCACAAAGTATCCCAAATCTACCAAGAGAGCCTTTCTTTCATTTGGGGCATCGACCGGTTCGAAGTGGAAGTTATCCGAAAAGCACAGGATCATTCCGATCATTCGCGATGCGTAAAGTACCAGGTAGATCTAGGACATTTCTTTTTTTTATATCGAGCTGGTCAGACTTGTGTGTTGTTGTTGTTTAGAGCAACATTCACAGCGCAGAAGCAAACGGAAAAAGCATGCAAACCTTCGTGTGCATTTTCGTTTCTTTTCTGTTCTCTTCAAAATTTTGCAACACACATTGCAATCGTTCACCGCCTCCGGATAAGAACCGGTTCGTGATCAAGCGTTCGTAATATGCGATGCAATTACAAACGCAATTGTGGACGTGCAAATTGAAAGTCGTATGCCGAGTCCATTTATACCTTGCGCAGATTTCAAGTTCTGCAGACAGTAATAACATGCCTCTCTTGATATACGCGCGCGATCTTCTACCGTTTTCTTTTTCTCCCTTTAATTTCAACGGACAACGGAAAAGTCTCTAATCGATCTCGAATGAGGACCGAGCTATTAAAAAGTACAACACTCTTGCCTCGGATCCTGCCTGCCTCGATTTGCCGGAAAATTGCTCCTGCCTCTTGTCAATTTTTCAACGCGATGCGCGTGATACCGTGCGACTTTCGCATGCCGCTTAATAAATTGCCTCGATCGCGTTGCGATTTCTTCGTTTCTCTTTTTCTTTTTTTTTTGCTCTTTCCGAACAAGACGACATGCACCATCCTTATCTGAGGTATATATCGCGAGCTATCGTGGGATTCATGATATAGGAGTGATATAGACATGACAGAGCCGACGAATCGTTATCGGTGGACAGTCACTACGTGAAGCCGGGTTTTCGTGATGCAAGAATCTGCGATACCTTTCACAATCGGGTGTTTCACCCCTAGTATTTGAGCCTCTGTCAGGATCGGCAGTTTCATAGATACCCTCCTCCTCGTGCATTTGATGGGAGTGTTGATGGGTGTGTTGATGGTTGCCGTAAGGACTTCGGGACGTCGGCTGACGGTATCTACCGTAGACGAATCTACTAGCGTCCTCGTCGCGGCCGCGGCTACATCTTCTGCTTCTACGTAGGAAATCTAATCAATTCCTGCATAAGTCGAGCTTTTTCTTTCTTTCTCTTTCTCTCTCTCTCTCTCTTTCTCTCTCCCTCCCTCTCTCTTTCTCTCTCTTTACGCGACTCTCATTCGCACTTCTCAAACTTCTACTCGGCATTAGAGGACTCGTGTGATAATTTCCCGCTAATCGGCGCTAATAATCGACGTCCCGATTCAAATTGTTAGATATTACCCGGTGACAATCGCGCTCGTTATAATCACTTAGTATAAACAGACTCCGCATTACCCCATGAATAAATTCTCCGCGTGTCATTCCGCGAATTATTTCTCGGCGATTCATTATCAAGTCCTGCTTTAGACGAAAGATCATCCTTTCCGGTTGTCTCCTCGCGCGTGTCATTGTAATAATCTACGGTCTCGCAGAACATAGCGCGAATATAGTGTTTGATATACATAAATAAATGCGTCGAGTCTGACAGCCTTCTGATGCGCAAGATAGGAAGCAGAATAAGATAATAAATTAACCCTCTCATCCTGATTTCTCGAATATTTCCGTTGCTTCGACGGAAAAGTGGCATCGATCGTCTCTTCGTCTTTATTTCTTATTGCCTCTCCGCATTTAATCCGGAGTGAGTTAGCCGAATTTTACGTGCGATTAATTTCTTTTTACTCGAGTTCTTATCAAGTTTCCATATTTCAGTGAACAATAAAAAAAGAAAGAAAATGAGAGAAGGAATGATGTCCACGATATTACACAATTACGAGAAAGATATATCGAAGGTCACTGACAGAAACATATCCCAAGTGTAATCATAAGGAAGTAAAAGCACAGTCGACGGGAGATTGTGCGTTAAGATGCAACTCATAAATAAAGACGATATAAAAATACATTTCGAATAATTTCCGAGAAATTAGCGTATGAGAGGGTTAAGATAATAAGTTGGCGAAAGAGGAGAAAGTAAGCGATTCACAGTGAGAGTTATGGCAGCGTGTGAAATGTCTGCTATGTCTGCTGACAATAATTGTGATTAACAAAGTATGAAAAAGCTCAAACGTATTTGGCCGATCGCTTCGATAAGAAATACGTTGCCGAATTGAAACAAACGTCTAATTTACAAGTCATTACTAAGAAGTCTAGGAATATTCGTTAGTGTATTGTAATAGACATTTCCATGGCTCGGAATCATTGTCTCCACATTGTCTCGAGGTTAAGGCTCCTCGTTTGAATTTAGAGTCGAAAGCTTGTCTGACGTAAGCACGCGTGTACTCGTTTTCTCCGCAAGTTCTTACCCTTGAGACGATTCGCTACAGACGGAAGAATCGATTCTGTAGTGTCGGTCCGGCTCGCCCTCGGATATTCGAATCTCCTCGGATCCACTTGGACTCATCTGGCCAGTCATGTATCTGATGACAAGATTGAGATCGTTAGAGTTAAATTTCGAAAATGATATCTCAAAGTACAGACGATTATTCGAGAATAGATATTGCCGGAAGAGGCGGAATATCAAAGGCCTCTTTACGCGTTTATGCGAAAACACTCTCCCGATCTGTCTTCACGCGCGATTCGTGGGAAACTAATTTGTTTACCACACCATAGCTACTTTTAGGATATAGTTTCCGAATTCTGTGTTAAATTTAGACTCTTAGGCCGGTGTTCATAGTCGTAAATCAGTTACAAACTCTGATTGAGAATATATTTAATTATTCATATATTCGTATTCATGAATCACTTGTTCAGATCAATGTTTCTCGCCGTATAAGAAAAATACAGATTGATAAGTAATAGGGAATTTTTATGAAAATTCCGATTGCTTATCAAATGACAATAAGCTATGAATGCCGGCCTTACATTCGATTACTTTATATAATTTGTGTCTGATAAATATATTTTTTGAGATCCTCCGAATTTCGAAGGTTTTGCAATCTGAATACGTCGTGGTCTCGAAATCCAAAACTCGAAAGCCAGAGTCGGAGGACTAACTAACGTATGAATCCAAGGATCGTGAGAGATTGAAAATACCGAGGAGTTGAGCACCGAGGAGGGAATGCCAGGACTTGTAAATTACGAGGACTTCTTTACCTCGTAGAATGATGCTCGAGCTGGCGAATGAGGTCCTCGAGATTGCGTATACGGATGGTGCCGCACGGCGGCTGCAGCTCCTCGTCCTCCTCTTCGTCCTCCTGGTTGTCGATGCCATTGTCCTGGCCGTCGGTGTCCTTGCGATACATGTCGGGATAACCGCACTCGGCCAGTGACTTGCGTAAGGCGTCTTCGTCCAGATTTCCGCTGCCCGAAGGGGTGCCGGCGAGATCGCCGCGGCTCGCCGCGTTCTTTAGCACCTCGATGATGTCGTCGTGATAGCTGTTCAGTTGGTTCAGGGTCCTCTGCACGTCGAACCCCCCGCCGCCTAGACCTGGCGAGCAAGTGACTCAAGTTACCGCTCCATAATGAGGACTCTCGTTTCAAGTTCGCTAACCCTCTCGTGCGTGATCTACCTATATCTCCTCTCTCATTCTCGATTAACATTTTCCCCCCTCCGATGGATTAATGTCTTAATCGCGTTTATTACGTCAATCCACGAGGTTCTTCGCCGTTTTCATAAAGGATGCGACTTGCTCCGACGTTACCTCCTTGGAATAATATCGTAAAATCGATATCTTGGCGATTAATCAGCGCATGAGAGAGTTGTAAGCCCTTCAAATTGGATCCTCTTAAGATTGTCCTGTATATTAACCCCTTATACACACACACACACACATTTGTAATTTGCACCATTATCGATAATGGCACGCGTTGAATCAATCGGTTCTCCGTGCTAACCGCTTTTACAGGATGCAAAGCGAAAGGCTGTAGAAGACGAGGCGTAACTTATAAAGGGTTAACGTTAGTGAAGGGTCGGTGCGAGAAGCTCGTACTTGCGCGGATCGAAAGTTAGCCGAGCGTGCGGCGCGCTCGAGATCGAAAACTTGGAGCGTTCGACTGCTCGCGGGGTGCTGTGTTGCAACAAGCGTCAAATTGAACGGATCCACGGATCGACGGATAGCGAACGACAAAAGGCACCGGGTGTGTTTATATCGGCGACAACTCGAGCTAACAAGTTCGGCTAACTTCTTCGATCGTTCAGCTCGCCCGAAGTTCGAGCTCTCGTCACAGCTACTCTTCACGTGACTCACATCGTGAGCCATCACGCCCCAACTTGTTGTTACAACTATCAGGCATTACAATACCGTAACCACCGTGTTTCTTTAAAATTCCCTTCTCAGGCAACTTTGTGTGATTGTTTGGTGGAAGATCAATGAAAGAGACAACCTCCTCTGCTCCCGTACCTCCATCTTCCTCCTCCTGCTGTTTATGCTCCCTGAAAAACGGATCGCACAAATGTCAGAGGTTCAGGGCTCGGTCTTCGTCATCTTCGATACAAAATCGTGCTACTGTTTCGTTTTTCACGAAAAGAAAAAAAGGTGCGGTGTAAACCCAATCGAGCCAATATTCCAAGAGTGTTTATCGAGCATTTGCGCCACAAGGAAGGAAAAGAAAAGTTTCCAATCCTCATAGATTCTCATTTACATTCTCCGGCGTTACATTTGATACTTACTCATAACAATATCGTTATCGATCTCCCACACGTTACATTTTACACGAGGGAAAACGCCGTTTCGTCACTGACGTCGCTCACAATATTAAGTGCAGATCAAATAAAAGCGTGCGAAAGTCAAGTTTAGATTCGTTGGAAGCGATAGATAGATAAGGTAGATAGACAGACAGGTGTCGACGCTTTGCGATTTATTCAACGCTCGTCTCAGTGTGTACGTGTGCTCTTTTCTCAAATCGGGGAAGGACTCGCATTTCTTTTTTTTTCGACACCGACTCGTGAGAAACGAATCGTCCGATTACCGATAGACCGCGGTCAATCAATGATGCGGTGCTTCGTCGCGAGCAAAGTGGTCACGGGCGAAATGAAAGAAGAGACAATTCCGTGAATTCTCGTGACATACAATCGAGGAGAACTCGCAGCGAGACTGCCGCTGCTGAATTGATCGATCCGCTCGCGTTCAGTTAGCGCAAATGAACGGTGATGACGTTTAATGATATCTGATGCTTTTGCGATATGAAACACATCGGGCGCGCGAGAAAGCAGCTCCGCGCGACACGCAGCTCGCGCGGAATTAATAATTAACGATAATGAATAAATTAATAAGATATGTTATTATTTAACGTCGAGATACGGTGTCCCAGATTCACCGACTGTCCTGCGGAGAGAAGGAGGAAGAGGAGTAGCGGACACTACAACTACGCTGGGACACCTCGTACAAGTGCACCCCATCAGCATGCGGTAAATAAAGGAAAAAACCACAGCGGGAAGTGGAATGATAAATGTCATGTTGCACGCGGACAGCAATAAGCATGCACAGGGATCGAATCGTTCGTTATTCGGTTCGACCGCAGCGTGTGTGTTTTCGGCATGAATTGTCGAGATTGCGAGATTAGTGCAGATAATGGCCCCGTGCGAGTTACGTGGAGGGAAACGAGGGAAACGATGGTCGATGCGACGTACAATCACACGTGGGAAAAGAGACCGGCCGAAAGAGAAAGATCGCGGCGCGCTATTTCCGGCGTCATCGGGGCGCAAATGAATAGGCGATCAATGATCGGTCGAATCGGAACGATCGTTGATGATGCATCGACGTTTGTGGTCCAAGTAAGGAATAATACAACCCACGTTCCACCAACGATTGCGCGCGGAGCGTGGCGGTTGCATGAAAAGCGCGGCCGTCGGAGCTCAATTTGGCGAACTTGGGAAAGTCTGACGAGGCGCGATCGGGGCAAAGCGGAATCTGCTCTCCCGTTGTTGCGGCCAATTAGAAAGGCCGGTGTGGCCGGCGGTAAGAAAGAGAAAAGAAAAACGGGGACTCCTTGTTTGGACCAACGTGACAGTGAGAAAACGGCGAGACACATGAGACTTACTTGACTCTTGGCCCGTCGGTGGCGGCGACGTTATTCGGGGGTCGAAACAGCACGCGCTGGGTCTCGCCGCGGCTAGAAATATACTAATATAGGCATGCCGCGGCTATTCTTATTAACCCTCAATTACCGGTGCACACCGTTGTTCAACCCGTTCTCTCTCAATTCCGACCGCGACCAGGAAGCGGGCATTCCGCGTCCCGCACGATCCCTCAGAACGTGCGCGTAAACGTTTCTTTCGTTATTAACGCTATTTACGGAGTAATTGCTCTCGTTCGTATCGCTCGTGTCAAAGCGGCGCGTAACGGCGAGATCACAAGGAGAGATTTCATTTATGCGTAGTAAAAAGTTTTCGCGTCAAAAATGGTTCACTGAACTTTGTTACTCTAACGTGGGGAATGGGGTTTAAAAAGCATACAAATATGTGTTAAAAAGCATACAAATATAATGTTAAGCTAACACATTTACGTTGTCTCCCTTGACATATGTTAATTTATCTTTGTATTTGCGTTCTTTTTAACACATTACCTGTATTAAAATAACACAAAATTTCAGTAGACCGCTTTTAATACAAAATTCTCTATTGTGTGGAGGAGAATACATCGCATCTCTCTCTCTCTCTCTCTTTCTCTCCCTTTCTCTCTCTTTCTCTCTCTTTGTTGAAGTTTTGTTTCTTTCATGAGAACACGTGTCTATACTTCGCGTTCGCGATAGTTTACTTTTCTGGTTAATGTAAAGTTCTACGTTTGAGTTCGAGATAATATTCTGAGAAGTAAATTTCGCCTTGCGAAGATCAAATAAATCTCTAAATCGACGTAACGTTCGAAATATCCAACAGGAATGAACGGAACTGCGTAAATTCGCGATGAGTATTCTCCGCTGTATTCGAGCTAAACTATTTTGATTAGGTACAGCGCTGTGCCCTTCGTAATAATTGAGGATTAATAAAATTCTGTAATGCTATCTTTTCCCCTCCCACATCCTTTACTTCCGGGATAAGAAACCCCCCCCCCCATCGCGCTCGTAATTTTCTGTCGTTCGCGCGCTTCGACTTTACTGCCGATAAACACGAACATAATAATTATGTATATACGTTCTTTTTTTATATATTGAACGCGTGAGGTATTTTGATCATTTGCTGTGAACATCAGCTTGAAGCCAATAATTTCTGAGAAAGCTTCCGACATGATATTGTACATAGTTTATAACACATACCAAGATGAAGCTTCGCGAGAAAAATACGTGTGTTAAAAAAAAATAAATATATATATATTAATTTTTAAATTTCTATATATGTAATAATATATCATCCGTATACATGACTGTAATCCTTGAAAAAATTCGGTATTTTGAATCGGGAGGCCTAACAAAATTGACAGTATCAGGAAAATCATTACGAAGCGCATACTAAAGCTGATGTAAAATTGTGGAGTCGACATTTACCTGAAATAAAAAGGTATCGAACTCCAAAGTCACACTGATCCAAGCAGACCTTAGCTCACTTCTTACAAAGCTGTTCGCGCATTTTCAACAATAAGCGTAATTTGTTACACAGGATGGGCCAAAAGTATCGTGGAAACGTTATATGAAGGAAGGAAGAGAAATTGCGTGTTTTATTGAAAGAGGCTTTAAAGAAAGAGAACTGTCGCGAAATATTAAAGAAATTACGTCGATTGTAAATGTATCGACAACTGATAATTTTGGCCCTCCCTGTTGCTTCTAAATTACAAGGAAAATACTGCAGACTTCGTTCATCGCTATATAATAATGTTCCTCGAAAACGATCGAACGACAGAAGCATCTCGAGCTGCAATCAACTCTACATCACACACCGAAGAAACGAATGATACTTATTAACATTTGTGGGACGAATTCTGGGACATCGCGATGAATCGATAAGAAGGCACGTTTTGTGACATGCCCGTCGAAATCTGCGATCGCGAGAAATGATGAGAAACAAGATGAGTAATGAGACGAGATGTAAGATGTAATGAGATGCTCGTATTAATGTACATTCATGTTAATGGAGTTTGGAATTCGCAATGGATCACCGTCTTTAATTTGAAATAAACAAAAAAAATGTAAATGACGTCTTACTTGATCGGGACTTAATCGGGGGATCAAACTGAGAAACCGTGGAAATTTATCTGTCGAGATTCTTTTCCTCTTCCTTTAACATCGGCACGGTTAATTAACGGAACGTTCAAGTTTTCAATCAAGCGAATTAATAAGTTCTTTCAAACAGATACAGTACCAGTTCTTATGCGCGATTAATTAGCTCATCTTATCGCAAGTCACGTCGCGACTCTTTGAAGCCGATTGCGTACTTTGAATATTTAGGAGTCACCCATCGTAGGATCGATTCCCGTTAGTTGTTTGTACAATTCGGTACGTTTCTTACAAAACCCGTCAATTCCCGGCATTTCGATCGCGCCAAATCACTCTGTCATCCAATTTGGCCACTACGACTCGCAAAATAAGCAGCGAAATGATCGTCGTACCTGTATTGAGGCATTCTGCCGAAGGTGAGGATCTTGTTGACAGTGTCCAGCGCCGCGGCTTCCGCATGATGATTACCAGAAACGCCGCTGTAGCTTTTCTGCGGCGGCTTCTTCGAGTATGGCGGGTCGTACTTCTGGACGGTGCTCTTCCTTCTGCGGGAAATTCCCACATTATGATGACTTACCGTCTTGAATCGCGGAAATAAAATGATGAAGCGCATGCAAGCCAGCGAAAGATTCATCTTGAGTATCGAATAATTTTTGGGGGGCTTTTTTAATAACGTTAAGAGGGATCATCAGAGAGAGCGATCGGCATGGATTATAACTTATTAGCCGTTAGTATGCAGTTTCTGATAAATGATCGATTATTTTGAAGTTAGTTCATCAAAAAAGTTTAGTTCACAATTAACTACGTTAATTAACGTCAAAGAATTACCTAGGAACATCCTGTTCTATAGAGAAATATAAAAGCATGTAAACGCTTCTGACACGCGACGGTTCGTCGTAAATTTCAAAGATACGGGAAACTCGATGAACTGAGAATTCGGATTTTGGAAAGTCGATGTTTATGTCGTTTATGTAAATATATAAATGTAAAATTGTTTAAAACGTAACACAATTCATTAAGGCATTCTTAACACATAAAGTACAAAGATGTAACGCGCAATAGTTCTTTTTAATCGCATCCCGATGCGTCACCGATCGAATCGTAACGATTATTGTCCAGTATCTTGCAACACGATTCATGACTGGCAATTGTAAGCTTATCGATTTATCGGTACGAACGAATCCTTCGATGCTGATGATTCCCCTTAATGATTCCTCCGGGATGGGTGGCTTATCAGAGTCAATGTGTACGCGATTATCTGTGATCAGAATTATTACGGAGAATAATTATCATCACGAAGACAAGTGAGGGAAGCATAAAAGAGACCCGAGATTGTATTCAGTCTAATGACATGAATATATGCATATACACACGTATATATGCACATACTTGTGTGCACACGTAAGTAAGGGGTGTCGCGAAGAAAGCGTATATACCAGTAGAGAAGTGTTATTCTTCGAGGAATTTGAAATTGAATTCCTTAGCGAGCGTTCTATCGGAAATTTCTGTTTTGCGACAGTCACCCAATTGATTGTTGCGAAATTGACAATGGTATGCGAAACTCAATTCTCGAATTATTCGATCTAAGAGGATCGAAAGTTCAAGATCCTCAAGAGAGGACCTAGAAAACCTAAAACAGCATTATATGTTCGCTGAAAGCTGTATCGAGTTTTATCGGAGGTGAACTAAAATCGGCGTTACCTAGGCTATTAACCCGTCGTCGAACGAAGACGAGTCGCGCTGAAATTAAATGAAACGAACACACAATGAAACGAAATCAAATCCTCCAAAGTTCATACCATAGCGCACTAACAGCATTGACTGACACGTAAGCGACATCAAGCAACGAAACCGAATGCTTGCTGAGGAAAAGAGACACCGCAAATTTCCCGAAGAGCAGCATGCCATCATCCTTAGCGCGTCTACATTTTTTTCACCCCTCGCTTATACATATAAAGAGGAAGAAAAAAAGAAAAAAAATAGAGAAAAAAATGAGAAAAAAGAGAGAGAGAGAGAGAGAGAGAGAGAGAGAGGGAAAGAAATAGAGAGATAGAGAGAGAAAGAAAGAGAGAAAGAGAGAAATAAACAGAGATAAAAAAACAGAGAAAGAGCGAAGAGGGGGGGAAAAAAAGAGAAATAGAGAGAGAAAAAGGACATATAGAAAAGTTCTACTTGTGTATGTTTCTGCACACTAACCTGAGACAGAGGGAGAAGTTTTTATGTACTACGACTGACCTGTAGCAGAGAGCCATCAGAGCAAATACTATGAAAACACCCCCTACCACCGACATGAGCATACCAACTAAAAATACAGTATTAGAGCCGTGGTAGTTCTCTGTGTGCGTATGTGTGTATGTAATTCGTCGTCATCATCGTCATCATTTGGCGTCATCATCATTATCATCATCACCATTGTCGTCGTCGTCGTCATCATCATCATCATCATCGTCGTCGTCATCACCGTCAGATGAGGCGGTTTACAGTCGACGCCATTGTAAATGGATTTATTTATTCATTTATATATTTTTATTTTACGAAACGAAGATATACACCATTGGTTTCGCGCGCAGTGCAGGAAGGTGGTTCGATCCGTATTTTTCGTATCCGAGCGTCCCGCAGCATGCAGACAGACAGAGATGGCAGACAGAAACAGACAAGAAACAGAGAAGCCAATATCAGCACGTGAAGAGAGACATACATGAATATTATCGTATACGTATACGTAGACAACTGCAATCTAATACGGAGTGTTCATCTGTGAAACATATTAAACTGGAGTGTTGCCACCTAATATTTAGTTACGCAATTATTGTCGTACCTATAAATTCAATGTAGCGCAATCGTGCACTCGAATATAATCCGTTTTGATGCGTATCGCATTGTTTGCACGCGTGGAATTTGTAATAATAACAAATATTAACCAGCAAAACTCCTGTTGTGTCTAAAAATGAACACTTCGCGATGTCATCGCTCTGATTACGAAACCTCGCAATTCCAAAAGCGCAGATTCAGCGTCTCGTTCGGACCCGCGCGGAATTCTGTCATCTCAGCGATAAAATAAGAATCTGCAAGTTCGAAGTTTCGCAATCCGAGTAATACTCGCGGCAGATACGTTTGATAAATCTTTTGGAATCTTGATTCTCGGCGGGTGTGATCCATATATCTCGGTACTCAAAAACCTAAAACTTTAACCTATAAGTAATCTAAGGAAAATAAAAACCCGCAGCTTTTACAGCATCCGAGGATCCTACGACCCGAAAACGTGTAAATACGCGGATTTGAAAATCCAAAGATCATATAGTTCTAGAATTCTGTCCTCACACACCTTTTTATCTGGAAAAAGGCAGCTTCTGTTAACCTTTGCGGTTTCGAACATTCGAACTTTTTTGTCATAATTGTAAGAGTTGATTATAGGTGGACTAAGTGACAAAATATCGTCTACACGTTCTCGTGAACAATTGCCGAGCAAGTGAATCTCGTCTCTTAATTCATCGAAACATTGATTTTTCCGCGAAGAGTCTGTTATATTGACTCTCAAGAAACCGATCGTCCTAATTTGCAAGCATCCATCAAGTTGCATACAATTATTAATAATCGATGATATTCGACAGGTTCTTCGCTAATCAGCCTTTTTCATGCTTTCATAGGACATACAAGCAGCTGGCACATTGTATAGTTTCTCCGACGCCGCCTTTTGAGGGACGACGAAAAATTTCGATGAAAGTAATCTTTTTTGTTACTTGACATAGTTTATCTGAAATTACCTGATATTTGGTTTTTCTCCGATATATTCAATAATTATTCAATTGTTTTTAAGTTGGCAAGTGCAATGCATATTGAATTCAATAAAATGCAAAACAGCTCTGAATAGTTCATAGAATTTCCAGTATACATTTATGCCAACTCTTTGTTTACTTAACCAAACAATTCTGCCCTGACTTTTTTTATCCCCTTTTGTCCCTCGAAACGCGACGGTCACTAAGATCAAGATTTTTGCTCGAACAGCATAGTCACGATCATAAATCACTATGCCACGAGCACATTCANATATATATATATATATATATATATATAATATATATCAAAAAAAGATATATACATATATTTGGTCATATATGCGAGCGACACAGATACACAAAATCAGCTGCGTCCAATTTTCATGAAAGATATTTGGATAAATATACAACTGGAGAAATGTTTGAAAAATATTTGTACCCCTTGTATTACTGTAATGGGCACAGGAAGTAATCTAGAACTCGAGGATCCCAGGGGAATCAGCTTCACATTACTTAAAGTATTTAAGATCCGAGTAACTTGAGACGCACGAAGCGTATAATTAACAGCACGATCGGGACCGAGGAGTCTCGAGTCCGTGGCGTAACTATAGGACGACTACGCTCCTTCTAAGGAACTTCTCAGCGAGGAATCCGGGATGCGAGGCAACTAGGATCTAAGTGAATCAAAAGCTGAAGCGTCAACGATCCTGCGACGCAAACAATCTAGACTTCAAAATACGTCCAAGGAGTCCAAGAAAGATTAAGAGATTAAACTGCATTCGGGATTCTCGTGCAACTCATTGTCCAGGAACGTCAGAAAAATATTACGGAAGAAAGAGAGATCAGAATGGGTCAAACATGAGAGGTGTCGAATGTAAGGTAATTTCTGGGGTTGGATGCAGCGACTTTTGTTTCTGCGATTCTCGCGTTTACGTGTAACAAGTGAACATCGAGTAGAATAGGCTAAGAGTGAATTAGTCGATCGATCAATATTGAGAGCATTGATGGCCGCGTGCGATGCCTCCTCATCATCATGATCATCATCATCATCATCCAGCTAGCCACGAATTACGACGACGACGAAGAGGACAGGCCTTGATCGGACGGATCTGTTTGCTGTTACTGTACCTGTAGCAAACAGCCATTAGTGCAAAACAAATGAAGACGAGCTTCACCACACCCACCAGCATCAGTACCAGCCACCCCGCGGAGAGATTGTTGTTGGTACTTCCTGAAACGATCAAGCATTTTGTATCCCGCGCTTGCGGCGTGCACGCGCACGCTAACCGAACGTGTGTGTCGTGTACACGTGGGTGTATGTATCGCGTCGCGCGATGGTTGCGCCCTAATAAGTTTATGCGCATATCGTCACTCTAATCGTGAAAGCTTGCAATTTCAAATCCGGAATATCGACGTGTCGTCCACCACGAGATCAATCCGACGCAATGCCGACGAATAAGGCGCGTCAGCAGCTCTTATATTTAGCGTGACGATATTTCATACGATTGTAAGTCAAGTGATTCGACATTACTCAGTCTTGAGGTATTAATGACTACTTAATCCAAGAGGAAAATGTAGCGGGCTGGAGAATTTAAGAAAACGTGGATTACCGAATGTAGCAAAATTTTGGAATTTGACAAATGCGAGGATCTTAAGCAACCAAAACGTCCAACCTGACGATGAATTTACACGAACATAATTGTAAAATCTGTATAATAAAAAAATTGACCCGAGGATGACCTATCGTCCGAGGGATAAAAGCGGGGGTGCCACGCGTCCGAAAGAATCGAAAGGATATAAACAGGGTACGAAGGGATCCTTTCCGCCGTTTTTCCTCTTTCGTTCCGCTCGAAACGAAATTGAAACGAGCGTTATCACATTAGTATATATAAATTGACACACACGTCCGATTTTATGTGCACAGCTGATAGTATGACCCCAAAAAGATTCCGACTTTGCGCCTTATCGTGAGTCAAAAGTCAATCGGGACGATCAATTGGTCCACATTGCTAGAATCGGAGGCACAGTAGACTTCCTTCTTACCGGAAACGACACTATTTTCGGTCCAAATCGTTTTCCGCCGTTGCAAAAGGCGATTCAACGCCGGTCGAATGTGAAATCAGTTTAGAAAAATCATAGCTGGATTTTCGTTCTTACGTCTCGATAATCCCATGTATTCGTGTTCTTTTAAATGATAAAATATCATTTAATGTTTAATACACGATATGGATCAATTAAATATTTTCCGCTTCTAATATAAGCCAATTTTTTGAATTTATATCTTTGCGACACGTGAATTAAATTAGATTATACTTTCATTAATATGCAAATAATGATTACAACTTTATAGCAATCGTATTTTTTCTAAATGAGCATGATTATTGTGTTTCTGTCTTGTACAACTAAAATTCTAGATTAAAAAATGACAGGATTTGACAGAAGTCCATTGTATACCATCCATAACTTATCAACTTATCAACGTATAAAATATAAACTATTATGACTAACGGATATTTCATATCTATAACACATTTAAATCTTACGATTAATGCGGACTTGAATTTATCGGCTTGTTAACTTTCTTGTATTGCAATATAATAATATATATTGCAATATAATAATATAATTATGAGTAACGTTTATACAACCATATCGATGTCTCAATTCAAACATATAACCAGGATTGGGTAAAGTCACTTTTGAAATGTAACTCGTTACCGTTATCATTACTCAAAAACAAGTGGTGGTTACTTTTTCACTAAGTTTCGAAAACCTTTTTCTAGAATTTACTTCTGCTCTTTTCATTGTACGTACAAAATAACGACAAAAATAACGGTTATATTCATTATTCAAGAAATGTAACTGCGTTACTATTATCGTTATTGAAAAAATGTAACATATTAAATCGTTACTGAAGAAAAGTAACTGTAACGGTAACGACGTTATAAGTAACGCGTTATTTCTCAACCGTGTATACAACAACTATGAAATATATATATGATTTCGTGGGAAATGCGTTTTGAATTCAGATCTGTGACATTCGGTCACTCGGATGTCTTAAAATATCCTTGACAGTTTTGAAGATCGACAATTTCAAGAATTATGGATTATTTCAAACATTTTTCGCACACACACACACACAATTCCCATCATATATATTTTATTCTTACATCGGGTGCATCCCTAATTACCGTCCTTTCGAATTAAGTTATCGATATGAGAACGATCAATGATCGCGTAACAGCAATAAGGTACGGTAAACAGGTGATAATTCAGATATTCACTGGGAATTGCGAACTGTTGAAATGTCTGAATCGTCACACGTTCCGTTGGAGGATCGATCGGGGGGAAATTTCTCGCGAAAACAAACGGCGCAATCAATATCCCGCTTTTATCCTCCGATTAGCCATGAACACGAAATGGTGTGTGTCGCGAAACGAATGACTTACCGTAGGGGGTCTCTTTCTTCTCCAGTTTCGGATCAGCTTTGCTGGCTACTTCGACGCTGGGTGTCGTCGGCGTCACCGTCGGGATGTCTTGCGCTATGGAACAGTCCGGCCCGATCCAACCGGGAAAACAGTAACACTTGTTGACGTTCGTACACACCTACGGGACAAACAACTGTGAGGAACGACTCGCTTACGCCCGACGTAAATCGACCGGCCGTTCGGGTAGCGATACGATTACGGCACACGTGATAAGCCGTCCTACTCTCGTAAACAATCCTCGTTGAAATCACGAGGACGATGGCTATCATACAGTTGTGTAAATAACGCGCGAATGTAAACACACGTCACGACAGTGACGACGCTTACCCCATTCCCGGAGCATTCCTTGTTGTCGTGGTTGCTCGGGCATTTCTCTTGATCGATGTGTGGAAACAAGCTCGTACAGGTTTGATTCACGCAAATCTGAAAAGGAATAATTAATTGGTCGGTATATATATATACATATATTCGGACATCAGTGAAATGCTCTTCCACGAGAATCGCTCTTGGCTTCGGGTTTCTATGAATTCTAATTACCAAATTGTCGCCGCACGATGTTCCGTCACGGACCAATCCCCACCCTGGTATTTCCGATCCTTCCACTTTCCCAGTCGTGGCTCTTGAAAATCGCGACGATTAGATAAATTAAATTTAATAGTTTCAGCTAAATTTAGAAATTTCATAGCTCAAGTTAATAATATTATATTCATCGTACGAAATTTATACTACATTATTCTATTCGATGGTAATTAACTGACGATGAAACTGGGTTCGTGAAGTTTCGCGGTGCTCCAATCGATTTGCGTCAAGGCGAACGAACTACCTTGGCGATGCGAATAGAGTGGTACAAGGGGGAGAGATTTTATTCGCGATAAACGCGATAAACGCGCGTCGACGCGCACGCAAAAACGATCGCAGGTGCGTCGTCGATGAAACGACCGCAACTCGATCGTGAGACTCCGCGAATTTTCACCCCCCGCCCCTCCCCGAATAAAATAATGATTCGCAGTCCCTTTCGACCGTTAGATACTCACTTGCACTCGTATTCCTGACTCTTGATGGAAATGATGGTTCTAGAATAAAATTCCTTCATTCCGTCGATGACCGGCTGTTTGCTACCTTGCTGGCACTGAAGGGATCCGCAACGAATGTTTCTGAAGGAGAAAAAGACGTCTTGATCATCGAACAAACATCGTTCTAAACTTCTAAATCTGCGGTGAAGCCGGGAAACAGAGTTGCCTCCGGTTGTCTCGGGTTGCTCGCGGCAGCAGTGAAGGGGAAAAATCGGCCGGGAATCGTGGACGTATATTTTGATATCGATTCGCGCTATCGACTATCGCGAGAACGATTACTCACTCTGCCTCGCACTTGATAAAGTGACCGGTCGCGTCGGTGCCGCAGTGGCCGTTGATGGATCCCTTGGAATTGAATTGCTCGAAGCACTTCTTGTCGGCGGCGATCCCGCCGTAACCCCAGACCTGCTCGCACTGCAGATCCAGGGCCGGGCATATCCCGTTGAAGCAGTGCCCGGTCATGTCCGAACACGGGGTGCCGTTCTTCTTGTAGACGTCCGGGGGACATTGGCCGGTGTCGCCGGAACACACCTCCGGCAGATCGCACTCGTTCGTCGATTCGCGGCAGACGACGCCGCGAGCTCGAAGCTGCGGTTTCGTCGGGAAAACGGCCAATCGTTAAAACACGACAGACGCGACAGACTGCCGACGGAAATGTCACCGGGAACGACGTGATCACCGGCCCCTTCGTTAAAGAGCATCCTTGCCATTGAATCTCGTTATCGTTTACATTTCAAATGATTCGACGTCGCTTACGGATCATTTTGGACCTTCGTAAATTCATCCAAAGGCACACGGAGAAAATATTGTGCGGAGGAGATAGTGATATTACGGCCCATTTATATTTTGTATAATAAATTTGTTAATAATCAATGTTTTTTGAAAAGTTAACGATTGTATTTACCAAAGTTTCCTCTGGTAAAAATTACTACGAAAGTTTGTAATGTTGGATTATACCGAAATTATTAGTGAAATTTTATGTGTGTTGTAATTGTTAGTGATGTGCATACGTGATATACATTATTAAAGATTACAACGCACGTCATAATTTTAGTCATAATTCCGGTATGGTCTAGCATTACAAAATTTTGATAATTTTTGATAACTTTTACTACAATATTATATTATATTATATTTTATCCGTGCGAATATACGCTGAGCGAACAAACAACGAACGTACAGCGAATCGTAATATGAAAGTACATATTCGCGTCAAAACTCGCACGAACTTCCTTTGATTTTATTTATTTCTTTGATAAGCCATTTTACGAGAGCAAACCGTTTCTGTTCGTATTCGTCATGGCGTACACATTTTCCAAACTGTAACAACGGAAGTTTGCATTCGCTGTTCGTTCCTTGCTCGTTCGCTCCCAGTGTGTAGCCGGCTTAACGACGCGAGTTGGCAAGGTGAACGTTCGCATGTTTCGTGCATTACTTTCCCGGAGGGTTGCCTCGCTGAAGGACGAGAGGACCTTGTCTCACCTTGCAATCACTGCAACAAGGGCCAGTCGCGCATTCGGCCTCCGTCGTTAGCTTGCAGGTGATGGGATCACAGCAAGGATCGAGCTCGTGGCACTCTTCGATCGATCCGCAGTCGCATTGTTCCCCGTCGTCGATTACCCTGTTACCGCATGATCTCCTGACCTCCAACTATTTCCAAAATAGATCCAATCGATTACGAAACGTTCGATCGTGTCTCCGCCAAGTGGCGGCTCGACTCGCTCTAATTCGCCCGTCGGCGTCAATTAGCGGCGAGCGTTTCTTTTTTAATGCTTTCTTTTTCCTCTCCCTAATCGATCTACCTCGTTCGGCTTGTTAAAAAGGCAGAAGGCGTGGCCGCTCTTCAAGGTTTCTATGTACTCCGTTTTACTACACTCCGAAAACTTGTACGGCTGAACGTTCTCCAGACCGACGATGGATTGAGCCATGATGCATCCGTGCCAATCGCGGCAATTGCAGTCGTTCTCTGGAATTTTTCAACGAAATCGCTTTAATCACTCATGTGCGCGCGCGCCTCGCTCTTACGCTCTATATTAATACACTGAAAAAGGGATTTGGTAATGAGTGTTAAAATTTGATGAATATTGGTCGACTAAATATTTGATCGCTGCAACCAAATAATTTAGTTCCGTGTACTAAATATACAATATATCAAATTATTTTCGATGCGGTAATCAAATATTTAGCCGGCGAATATTCACCAAATTTTAGTACTTATTACGAAATCCTTTTTTCAGTGTATCGATCACAGTGTGCGCTCGATTGTAATCGTAATCGGGAAGTAAAACGAATACAAATGTATATGCGGGACTGACTTCCATCGTCGTGGCTCATGCCGATATTGTGACCGATCATGTGAGCCATGGTGCCGGCTAAGAGATGGGGCTCGTAAGTGTTCAGGTCAACGCTGATCCCTACGGCCTTCTGGCTGCACACAGTCGCAGGTATCGCCACCCCGGATTCCCCGCCTAAGAACGTCTCACCCCTGTCGTCGTGAAAATGTACATTACGCGTCGAATATTCATTTCGTGCGGTTTCGCAGCGAGATCGAAGCGAGGGAATAAGAAGAAATGTGAATTTTCCAAAAGTTAACACTATAATTTGTTAATTAAGTAAAAAAAAAAAAACTTGAGACGTACGGTAGGATTTAGCGTTCGAGTGTACTCTCTAAAGTGCAATCAGTGCATTATCACCGAGAAACAGTCAATAGTCTCTAGTGATCATAATTATAAGTATAGAACTGCAAATCAGTAAAATTTCGCTGCAGAAGTCCGTTAATAACAGTAATCGTTAATAACAGTTTCCATCGGAGAAATCTAACTGTAGAAAGAGTGAAAAAAACTTTAAGGCAAAGTATTGATCAGATGCATGAGTAACTGATAAATATTCAAATTAACTGATGTTATTCTATTAGTTACTGACGTGATCCGACATCATCAGTTAATTGAAACATTCATCAATTACTGATGCAGCTAATTGGTACTTTTTTCTTAAGGGAAGATATCGTTTGCTTCTTTTTTATTATCTAATCCCGTTATTAAGGTATCGTCAATGATTTTGCCTGAAATATTCTTAATTATGTTTAATTGATTTAATTTATATCGTTTTTAAAAAACACGCTCATCCCTGACGGGACTCGAAACCTTGAACTTTTGAGTCTGCAACTGAACGAACTACGCCAAATACATCATATGGTTGAATGCATATACGATATATACATATATTTCTGTTACGAGGGACGCAACAGCGGTTTGCAGTGAACCTTTCATTGGCCAAGATCGATAAGTATCAGACAAAAGAGCCAAGTGGAAGAATTTCCACTAGAAATCAGTAGTGAATACTCATTACCGGTAGAATTCTATTTCACTGATTCAGCTTAAAAAATTATAGAAGAAAAAAAAGTAGCCGGACAGATTCGAGAGGATATACAGGGTTTAAAGACCCAGGAGGAATGATGAACTTACGTGAGCAACTGAGTGGTGTCCTGAGCAATTTGATACATTCTCCGCATCACATAATCGTTAAAGTTTAACAAGGCGAGATCGATGTCCATGCCTTTATCGATTTGCGCCTGGTTGCTGCCCTTCCAAGTTTCGATGTATACGACGGAGACTCTAGTGTTTATCGTACGGAAATACTACGAGGAAATCCAATTTAGCACACGCCCAGTCTCATTTAAGGCGAGGTATGCCGCGCGGCTTAAGCGTGCTTAAGCGCCAAACGTCGTCGTCCCGTTACTTACCAAATCTGCGATATTAGCGACTTGGATGGCATCGTGAACAACCTCGGCTCTGGTGCTACCGTTTCTTTTGTCGAACTGCTCGCAGAAACGCAGAAACATGGATTAGAGATCGTATTAACTAATCACACATCCGGGCGATTTAAACGTGCGCGCCCCGACGAACGTACCATGGCCTTATCGATAATGATGGCAGTTTCGATGTATTTGATTGCTTCACGGACGTCTCTTTTGTATCGATCAGAAGTGGTCTCTGATAGCCCGCGGGTGTGCTTCTGCCGGCGGTTCTTTACTCGCCACTCAAGATTCCCCGAGTTAGCGCAGCCTTTGTTAGCTTTTGTTCGGGCTTCAAATATAATGTGAGGATGTTTCTGCTAAAAGAGAGGCTTGCATATAGTTAACATTCGCCAACTATCCGGAGCACCGTCCCCGGCACACTCGACGCTCTATTTAATTATAGCGCGACCTAAACTTCCGAGAAGATACGTCTAATCTGGTAATAAAATCATACGAAATTGGCCGGCATGAGATCAAAGCTTGCTGCGCGAGTTTCTCTTATTTCGAGAGATGAGTTATGCGCGAGGATCGCCGCAAATTAGTCCGCCGTTCGCCGGACGACACTCGTCCGAGCGATTATGCTTTTGCATTTTCTAACGACGGTAAGAGAGGACGTGAATATTTTTATCCGCTCGTGACCAGTTCCAGACGTACAGAGCGACATACAAATATATTATTACGGGGGTATATATACTGAAAATTCGACACGCATAATTCAATTCGTCGAAAGAATCCCGTGTAGGAGAGACCAAAAGTCACATGGTTAGTTGTCAGATCAGTCGTCCAATTTGTACGATGTTGCTTTGAGCTTGATAACTTTTTTATGCATGAATATATATATATATATATACATATATATATAAGGCAACTATTTTTTTCAAGCTGAAAGTTACAACTACAGAAAAATTTACATTACGAAATATCGTACACATTTTTCTACTCGAACGTAAAAAGTGCGATTATATGTCCCGGTCTCTCCTATATCCCTCACATTACTAAAGATAAACACTAATAAAACCGCAGCGTACAATTAACCGTAACCGTTTAATAGCTGACGAGAGATAGTTTGACTGACCGACAAATCGCCGCCGTAGAACGGATGAATGACGAAAGTCTCGTTGCCTAAATGAATGACACCGCTGACACCGTTACACGTGTGAAAAGCAGCGCTAGCTCCCGGATAATCCCTCACAGTGCCATGATAATAACAATGTTCTATCTCCTGTAAAGATTAAATAATAACGCACCACCTGACGAGTAGTCTCTCGTCACGGCGGGAAATCGCTTTACCCGATTAACATTTAAGTATCGCGCGAGTTTTAAACTTTACTATTATCCCGCGCGACGTCGCTTATTTTATAATGAGATAAATAATGCACGGTTGTGTCGAGCGCGCGCGACGCGTATGTACGTATGACATTTTTTCCCCCTTCTGCCGCTGCAAGCCACAAGAATCACGTTGATTGGCCTTGTCGGACGCGCGATGTAAAAATAACTCGCGACATTACTCGGCATCGAAACAACCATCTTCTTCTTCTTTTTCTCTTTTTTTTTAACTCGACCTTTAGCGCTCGCGCATGGAAAGATTGCCGGCGGTAAGGACCACCCAGGTATTATTAAAAGCAGTCTCTTCGGCTTAAATTTGATTCAGCAAACCATGGAACAACGGGTGGAGCCAACTGGTGCAAGTGATTATACCCTCATTAACGACCGTGAATGTCAGTTGGAGGCACGTGAATACTTAAGTGTTATTCAATTTGCCGCACGTGAAATTGCAAGTCCCCGAGATGCCTTACCTGCTTAGACATTTGTTCCGCGTCGTTATCTAAAAAGTCTTTCTGAATCAGGTTTGGAGCTAAAAGTTGCCTGCAACAAAGGGAATTTTTTCCGTCAGAAGAATCAGGAGGGCCGAAAGAGGTAATTCTTAGACGAGTAAGTCTCGCCAATCGGATTCTCCGCACGGTTCGTACAGTTCGCAAATTCTCTCCAAGAAAATGTAAAAAGGCTATATATTTTAATCGACACACGCATATATATATACATATCGCAATAGTGTAATATTAATTTTTGTAATATTGATTGAAGGAAACTTACGTATTTAATTCTAAATCTAGGCGGAATTTATGATTGAAGGCCTTGATCAGAAGGGACGTCCGATGAAAATGTCTCCCTGTCTGGAAATGCCAGCGTCGCGATTAATCTTCCGCGCTTTTTAAGAATCACGCACGTTCATCTCGCATGTTACAATGACACTTAATTAATTACTAAGGAGTACGTCTATATCGCAAAAACTTACTCTCATTCTGCCTCTAGAATTTTGATATCCCCCTTCTCCGTAACCTCTTTGAGGATACTGAATCGCAATAAAGACAATAATTAATCGTTTGTAAGACGTGGACGTTGCTTTCGGTCCGACGGAAAATTCCACGCGGAGAACAGTGCGCGGTAGAAACGAGACGGCAAATAAGGGAACGTCGCAGAACACGATTTTACCTTCGAGACGCCGACTTCTCTCGTGGATATCCCCATTTTCTCGTGATGCCGTAGCTGTACCGGATAGATGATCTGATAAAAATGTCCGCCGATATTTCGTACTAGCTCCTGGTTTTGTCGATATTCGCGTAGTAGTCGTTCGACCTCACCTGAAATCAATTTCCACGTTCAATCGAACGCCCTAATTTCACTCCCTCAGCTCGTGCTTCCTCGCCCCCTATGGCTCTCTAATTTCATCTCGAATGGGGCGATTTTTTGGGACGATTCATTGCGCCGTGCTGGCGAAATTTCGCGCTATTAGCTCCCTTCTCGAAACCCGCTATCAGCGAGATTTCGGTGCGTACGACTCAATAATAACGACAGTAATAACGACGATTTTATTATCCTATCCTCCCGACTTGTATCCACCGTGGCTGTGTATTTAGCTCTTCCAGTCTCGGCCGAACTCGATTTCGATTTTCCGAAGTGAAAGCGAAATGCTTCCTCTCAAGGCTCACACGGCAGCTCGATACATCCTGCCGTTTATAAAATCATGTAAGGCATCCAGTCGACTGAACATCTGTATTGCAATTCGTTTATTACATATTTGTGCGTCATTATTGTTCAAGTTCAATTATATATGATTCTGTCGTCACTTATATAGTAAGAAATTTTGTATTATTTTAATAAGGTGAATATGATAAAAAGTTGATGAGCATATTAACAAGGTGAGTGTGTTAATTTAACATATTTGTTTCCCATGTTAAAGTAACATAAAAATTTAAACGGAGCGTTTGCGACAAAAAAATTTTGTTGTATATTTAATAAATGTCATTATTCATTTATATATATATATATATATATATATATATATATATATTTCGGCAAGATAACTATTGCCGCGCCTTTTTGATTGTTCTCAATATAACGTCTTCAATGCTTTTACCCTCTGTAATTTTTAGCATCGAAAAAAAGAAATATTTCACGCGGTGTGCGACCACGCGTTATATTTTCAGATGGCGCCCAGTGGAGCGGCGCGATTAAGCTTGGAATGATCGTCGATTCAACTTTAGAACCGTCAGTCAGGTGCGAATTTATAAGTTCGAAATTATCGCCGTTTCTTCCATCTGCAGGATTCCGGAGCAATTTGTATTCTTCATCGACGTTTCCCCGTTTGTCCGCCAGTATTTCTAGCCGAGAGAGGTGGCCGGGGAACACCTTGCATGCTGGAGAATTGCCATTACCCAGATCGACAATAGATATCGATCGTCCGAAAGCTCCTCCGAACCAATGCTGGCTCCCACTCCGCGCCGACGGTCGTCTTCCGCGCGTCCCTTATTTCGAGAAGTTCGCGCGCGATTCGCGAATTCAATTTCTATCCTCTCTTCAGCGCGCGACGCGCCAAACACGCCGGAATTACTCGCCGATTAATTTACCCCTTTCGCGCGCTGCGAAACCCACCGGCGCGCCCACCCTTCCGGCGACGATTATCCTCCCGGTTCCGCGGAAACGTCGCGAGTACTTCGCGCAAATTGCGATTAATTCAGCCGACAGCCACGACGGACATCGTTATGTTTCACCTCGCCCGTGACGCTCGTTACACGTCGCGCGCGGAAATTCGCCCCCGTGGTGGCGGCTTCGATTTTCCGTCAGAAATTTCTGACGTCCCCCCCCC